ATTTCCCTTTCAGAATTTCTTCATTGAATTCCGATTAAATGTTCCAAGAGCAAAGATCCCAAACCCTTATCCCCCACCCCACACTCAAGTTTTCAATGTTGAATAAATTTAAAAAGATGTGTTTCAATTTACTGTTGCCTTTTTATCATATTCGAGGTTGATGCATTTATTATTCATAAAATACAGCATCAAAGGGTATTTAAAAAAAAAAAAAGAATTAGTCAAAAATCTTCTGTGTGAGGATTTAGATAAGTTCAAATCTTATAGGCTAGACTATTAATTCCAAATTTTTAATTTCACATGGCTGAAGAACAGACAAAACATCTATTCAAATTCTAAATGAACTGTTTTTATTATTTCTAACAGGCAAAGAAATTTAAATGTTTTAATTTAACAGGCATGTCTAAATTAGTAAATAATATGAAACTAAGAAAAAATGTTAAGTTTTAATATCACACCTTTAAGGTCATAACAGATTTTGTTTTAGATGCTAAAGAAGTTTGTTCAGATGTCAGCCCCCTACACTCATTTGTTTCCATATTTGTATAGTATTTGTCACATTGAAAATTCGTTTTTCTTTTCTTGACCCTCGCCTTTCATAAAAATTTAAATGTTTTTATTAATCTTGTAGATTTTTTTGTCAGATTTTAAAGTTTTATGTATTAAAGAAATTTAAAAAAAAAACAAAAAAACTTGACCTTCATGCACTGTTTTAAAATCCATTATAATATAGTTCTGGATAATTTTTAAGCAGAGAACAAGGGGGATATGAAAGGATTTATATGATGAGATTTGAAGGTTGGATGTTTAAATATCTTTTGCCAACAGGCAAAGATTAGCAAAGATAAACTGGAATTTTCAGATTGGCGTTTCAAACCACTTGTTCTGCTATTTGTCTGTTAATGTTTCAAATTCCTTTTCTGTATTAAGACATCAGTCAAACACTTACAAATAATGTGCCATCAAAATGATTTCTTGAAGATTTGTATATACTTTTGGACTATGAGCGATTGAATTAAACAGTTTCCCCCTTAAAACTTTCCCCTCCCCCTTCCAATACTTGACCCAATCAAACCAATTGTTTTGTATATTTTAATCTATAAACATATTTTTGTAGCAACTGATTTCATATTTTGTATATTATGTAAAAGAAATTTTTTTAAAAAGTGGTATAATAAAATTGTTTTTCTTTTTACTATGACTTTCTTCTTCTGTCGGCAATAAATATGGTAAGATTTTCTACTGCTCTGAGATCAAGAACACAATGTGGACAGTATGGCTTGAAGCAGCCCGTGACCAAGAACCAACATCAGCATTGATCAGTGCAAAGTTAGGACTTCCCTTTAACCACATGCTAAAACCTTGAGGTTCGAACCACTAAATGTGGTTACACCACTGTAGGTGGCAGCAAAAGGCATTACTTTATTTATTGATTGTGTAATCATCATGTGTATATTGGCATTAGTGTTTATTTCTGTATCAGTTTTTTTAGATTCTAGTTTGTTTTATTTCTGCTGGTTGTACAGAACATTACATGTATCTCCCTCATGGTGTGTCTGCATGTTGAAATTTTTTAAATTTTTACTTTGTGTCTTAAAAATTATGATAAATGTTGAAAATGAAATGATTTATATTTGGTTATATTAGCTGCAAATTATATATATATATATATATATATATATATATATATATATATATATATATATCTCTCATTCTTTATTAAATCATTTCATCGCAAGCAAGGTTGATTTGAGAAGGGTCAATTTTTGTTGTACCAAGAGCTATATAAACCAATTGAATCTCTAACTTTTTTTTTTTTTTGTCATGAAGATTTTTTTTTTTTTTTTTCCTAAACGAAGCACCCATTCTGGCTCGATCAGCATTTGTTTACCTAAATTCTCAAAGAAACTTTTCCATTTCTTTATAAAAATAAAAATTGCCGAGAGTATTATAGAACAATCATGATGTCAAAAGAAAAGCTTTTTTTTTTTTGGGTTTGAACTTTGCCAAAAAACTTTACACCCAACTGATTTAAAACTTGAAGAGGGTTTCCTAAGTAACTGCTTCCTGGATGTAAAGTTTTTGGCAAGTTCAAATATACACACACGAAAAAAAAAAAAAAAAGCAATTGAAAGTGTGCCTACTGATTAATGTTCATGGTGAGACACTGTTTGAAGAGACAAAAAACAATGTTTTTCTCTTTGCCTCCTCAAATATTGTCCCACCATTTGAAAAAGCATCAAGTAGGCATGAACATTAATCAGTTGGAATACTTAATTCCTTTATCTTTTTTGTAAATAATTTCGTAGGATATCAAATCAATAGAAATGTTTCTAGGTTACAAGCTTTCTTCTCAGATTTTTTAAAAATTTTATTTCTATAAAGTTTGTCACAGCTGTAAAGTTCTCAGCAACACCAGGAAGTAATGAACGACAAAATGGAAATTCTATTTTAGAGACATGGATCAGATAAAACTTATCCACTCTAGTCCCAAATAATTATAAAAGGGACCAGGAATTATCGTTATTTACACTATTTATATACATACTAGTGTCCTTTGCCTTCATCAGGTCTATGTTGATTTGGGTAACCTACGTCTGACAACCTAAATTAGTGCCCAAGCACTCCTTTCTTCTCTTGAATCAGCAGCTAACTGTGCAGGTCTTCACCTAAATGAAACCAAAACTGAGTGTATGCCAATTAACATTCGCAACAATCATGAGATCAAAACACTCTCAGATAACATCGTCAAATGTGTCGAAGACTAAAAGTATCTAGGATCACACATCAAGAACTCTGAGAAAGACTTCAACATTAGAAAAGGCATAGCATGGACTGCTTGTAACAAAATGGATAAGATCTGGAAATCCAATCTTGCTCGTCAATTCAAAATCCAACTTTTCCGCGTACTTATTGAGCCAATCTTACTCTATGGCTCTGAAACTTGGACTCTCCCAGCAAAACGACAGTGTCGTTTAGATGGATGTTATACACATCTTTTAAGAAGAGTGCTTAATCTCTCATGGCGAAACTACCCAACTCTAGAAATGATATATGGAGACTTGCCGAGAATATCAACCTTAGTTTGCAAGAGACGTGTCCAGTTCGCTGGGCATTGTGCACGTGCCACAGATGAACTTGTGTCATCATTTGTACTCTGGAGGCACCCATCATCTGTCAATCGATCACGCAAGTTAACCTTTCCCGATAGGGATCAATGTGTCACGTTTTATCCTAAGAAAGATCTTTTAGGTGCTATGACAGATAGGGAATACTGGACAGGTGTAGTGAGTTCAATCTCGGCTGAGGCCGCAAGATGATGATGAACCTACGTCTAGTCTTTGTTTTTAATACTACAGTCTGTACATGAACTCAGTAGATATAGGGTCGAGGAATAACTGAACAGTACTAAAAGCAAGAACTAGACTGGATATCCCTAGACATGGACCATGTAACAAGAACAGTCTACACCCATAGATTAAATAAAGGATTCAGTTTTGAATCTCTGGAACAAGCAATAACTGAACAGTACTAAAAATAAACAGTAGACGAGATATCCTTAGACCTGGACAGTGAAAGAGAACAGTCTACCCATGTAGATTAAAGAATTCACTTCGGAACTGGTGACATAGTAATTGTAATTTCCATCACTTGGGGGAGCTGTGTGTACTCAGTGGAAACAGGGGAGAGCAATAACTGAGCAGTAGTAAAAATAAGAACTGGATGAGATATCCTGAGGCATAGGTTACCCACATTGATATACACCTGATGAAGGCTGGAGACATAATGGCAGAAGCGTTGTGATGACAATAACTGAAAGTAAATAATTAAAAGGGGATTTGAGCAGATGTCTGGAGGACATCTGGAGTGAGGATGTCTCATAACAAATTTAGGTAATAGGACCTTAAGAGAAATTTGATATGCAAATAATACTTTTTTTTTTTTTTTTTTTTTTTTTTAATTGGTGTCACCCCATACAAGACTGTAAAGCTACTAAGACACGAGGGAGTTACTCGTCGTGAAAGAATTAGGAACGGAAACATTAATAATGAACAGAAAGAGTAATCAGGAGGACAGTAGATAGCAATTGACATTGCATTTAAATCTTTTCAGATTAAAGTTGGCTGGAAAGCATGGAACCGGAAGGGTAGAAAAGAAACTGTTAGCATAGAATTTACGACTACATCTAGCCTGCTCAAATGTAAGTTGATGTAGATCTTGATGCCAGTCTATTATGGCACTTAAATTTAAATAATGAACACCTCATCCAAACAATTACCATGAAAGTATTTACAAAAAAGGCACAGAGGAAAACTTATGGTGTTAGGAAAGTGACTGAAGCTGAGCTGCCAGCTTGACACCAATAATATTGCTGATTCTTTGGATTTTATCAAGGAGCTCCAGGTAAATAGCAGGGGCACCAAATCATCTGTGACAGCAAAATATTCTCAGCCTGGATGAATGGTAGACTTATAGATATGTATTTAAATTTAGTGAATTATTGAGAGATAAAAACAATGCATGTGAAAAAGATTCTTTTTATTACTTCCAGTGTTAAAAAATACAGCTTCTTTTTTTGTATGAATTTGGTCCTTTTAAAGAAAGAATTTAATCAATTCTATTTTACACTTGGATGGCATTGGAAATTTCTTCAGGGTTTTTTTTTTTTTTTTTACTTTGCCAATTCCATTTAGAATATTTTTTCAGTAATCTGAAAAGGATTTTTAGTTTTCTAATAAGGGAAAAGAATTGGACAATATACTTTCATCATTTCAATCAGTAAATGAATCTCGCACCTCAAGTAAAATCAAAAGCTAAGAGTTGATTTTGGTCATAGTCTTTACAGTTCAAAATATCTTGAAGAATTCTGTGGAATTTCCTTTTAAAATTAAAACAAAAAATAAATTCATCTTTCCTTTGGTTGTCATTGTCCGTTTTTTTTTTTTTTTTTTTTCAATTTTAAAAAGAAGAGTTGCAATCATTTCTTCTTTATTTATTTTTTAATATTCAACTGTTATGGTTTTTGTTTTCAGATATTCATTTAAAGCTTCTTCACCTGTAAAATGAGAAAAAAAAAAAAAAGGTTATTTAAATCTTTATGCAGTAACTTTAAAAGAATGCACATCTCATTAAAATCTCAAAAGTTCATATTTGAAAATGTAAAGAAAGAAATTTCTAAGGAATTAATGGATTTTATTTTTAATCCAACTTTTTTTTCTCTTAAACTTTAAATCTTATTCTTATGGATATACTTGTTTATGGATATACTTGTTTGACATATGAGGGTGGGGATTTATTGGTTCAAACCTTGATGTTGCTCCAGATAATTTCATTTATTGTAACTAATTAACTTTTTAATTAATTTTTTTTCCATAAGTAAAGATTTTTGGGCTAATAACATTTAAGTAAACATGACTTGGATCATCAAATAACTTTTTGTGAAGATTGAAATTATCCAGGTTCTATTTGTCATGTCAAGTTATTCCCTGGTTCAAACCTCACCATGGGTTTCAAGTTATTAATTAGTTACAATAAATAATGAGGAATATTTTTATTTATTTTTTTTTTCTCTCTATTCAGATTTAATAAAACATTTTTCTTTTTGTTTTCTCCTAACCCCAAATCCAACAATAAAAGCTTATATTACTTATCACTTAATTCACTGACTAGCTCAATCTTCTTGGGGGGGTTTATATGCCTCAACAAGTGGACAGTCTCCTTCCACTTATGTATCAAAGTTTCTCATGAAAATTGTCTTCCCTTTTTAACAGAAAATTAAAAATCTTAACAAGGACTTTAAAAACAGATTTTAATCCAGTGCACATGCCCTTGCTGTTATACAGGGTAAGGCAAAAATTGTTATATGTGCTGTTCAAAATGGCTTCCTTCTTTTTCAAAACATTTCAATTTTGTGCCTGTATGATTCATTAACATGTCAGAGAGTTTCCCTCTGTCAATTTACTGCATTCATATTGAATTCCTTTAAGTTCCTACATATTTCTTGTCTGCATCTGATAAACAACTGATTTCAAATGTCCACACAGAAAAAAAAAATCCAAGTGTGTGAGGTCTGGTGACTTATCAAAACAAATTAGGTATTTAAAACATGATTAATTGAATACCCCCCCACCCCATGGTGCACGATTTTTACCTCACCCAGTAAATTAAGGTGGTGCTGAAAAGTTAATGTCTCAGCACGAATGAGGCATAGCACATGGAACTAAAACAAATCTTCCGCAGTGGATGAAGTAAAGGGTTCAGTTTGAAATTCCAATCACCTGAAGAAGGTCGGAGCCTACAACGATTAAAAATGTTATGAAGATGAGGATAATGTAAGTAATCATAATACCTCATCCCAAATCAGGCCAAGCACCCCATTATATTAAGAAAATGAATTTCTTTTGATCTAAACTAAAATAAGTATAAAAACAACTTTTTTCATAGAAGTTGTATGGCCCCACTTGGTTTGTATTTTTTTTGGTGATGAATGTGGTCCATCTTTGAGCAAAACCTGTTATTTCAAAAATATATTTGTTTTGTTAGATTTTTTAAAAAATCTGGTGAAATTACATAAAAAAAAGAGTGTCGCGTAATAATAATTGAAGAATTTTACAAATACGTCCATAAATAGAAAAGTGAAAGAGGCAATATTTCGTTTTTTTTTTCCTTTTTAAAAACATACCAAGATCCTTTCCAAATCCTGATTGTTTGAAACCACCAAAAGGTGCAGCAACATCAGTTTTATTATAAGTGTTCACAAACACAGTTCCAGCAACTAGCTGGTCAGCTACATTCAATGCCTTGCTGATATCTTTAGTAAAAACTCCGGATGCTAAGCCATATTCGGTTCCATTTGCACTGAGTAAAGCGCCATCAATATTTCTACAAAGAGAAAAAAAACAAAAAAAAAAAAAAACAAACATTTATTGAAATGAGAAATGAAATAAAAGAAATTATTTGATATTACATAATATTTGGGTGTTGAATTATACTACCCAGGATAATCATACTGTTTAGAGCTAAGCCCTGATAAGTGTCAGCTGTAAACCCTAACCTGTCACTCAGAACCTGGCGTTTATGTAGGTACCTCCACTTTTTTGCTGAAAAAAAACTGTATAGTATGATGAAAAAAAGACCCCAAACATAATAAAAACAAAGTTTTATCATCAAAATGTTTTTGTTATTATTAAAGAGGAAAGATCAAAGGATTTTTTGTTAATTTATTAAATTTTTTAATCTTTTCTACCATGTTTGAAATTTTCGTTAAATATTTTTTTTTTATGTGGCAGCAGTCGACATAATATTTACAATTAGTGGTTTTGACTTTTATTCTGGTGAAAAACTCATTGATTTGGAAATTCTTGCAAAAATCAAATTATTGTCGGGTTTTAATGAAACTTTCATGGCTTATTCACAAATGAATGAAATTATTTAAAAAAGTTTTTTTGAATATCTTGGTAAATTTTTTTTTTTTTACACATATTTTACCCCTCCCTTACTTAATTTCATTAAATTTTGAGAAATTGAATTTTCATCGCCCAATTTTTTTTTTTTTTTTTTTTTTATTAGTTTTAACCAGGACTCCTTGGATAATGTAAATCAGCAATTATTTTTTTTTTTTTCAAACTGCTGCTCATTTCCCAAAAATCTGTTCCCAAATTGTGAAATAAAATTGCAAATCAAACTAACTTTTTTTAATTAGAAAAGCTTTTAATTGTTTTTATATACAAGAATTATTAAGAAAACTATTGTCTTGAGAAAAAAAACTTTTTTTTCGATGAATAATGAATTTTTACAAGAATTGTTTACATTTTTTTTATTTTAATTTATAATATATAAATCTTCTTAAAATTCTGCATTACTTTAATCTGATTAGGTTATATTGTTATTAAGTGAAATCTATATTTACTAATCAAAAACTGAAAAACTTACAACATAGAAATCATTTTGCACCAATTTTTAATTTCTTTTATGCATATAAAATATGTGATGTATCCATTTTTGAAAATATAGTTGACGATACAAGACATTATCAGGAAATAAGTGATGACTATAGTAAATTCAAAATCAACATTCCTTACAAAATGATTACGGAGTATATTTTCCAACATTTTTAAGATTACTGAGTACTTAAAAATGATATAAAAAAGGCACACATCATTTTCTTAAATTATGCTTTAACAGATAAAGTTTCTGCGGAACAACAATCATTACATCACCCCCTCGTCAATTATGTAAAACATGGTGACTTTGGTAAAAAAATACAGCTATTGTTTTATTTTAAAAATACATTTCTGTGTTATTTTAAACTTAAAGTAAATATTTGTTTCAAATCAGGTTAATTATACTTTAAATCAGTTAATATTCCTCAAATAAAGTTTCAGAAAAGTATATTTCATTTTTGCAAGATTTTTTAAATTACATTCTGTTGACAGATGGTTAAAAATGGCTAAAAATCAGTAATTTTTATCAATTTAAAAAAAAAAAAAAAAAAACTCCTCCCAGTTAATTAAAATTATTTTTGAAATACAGCAAAGTATTTTGCTTATTAGAAATATTAAATTTAATCTATTAGCTTGAAATTAAAACTAAAATTAAAGCTTCAAGGAAGATTTTTCATTTTGAAAAATTCATTTTAAACCTTGGGTATCTCATTTCTTTTGAGGTACGTATTCTCTGTATTTAAGTGTCCCCAAATCTTACCCATCCACAAATTTTGAAATAATCATAACAGGTCCAAATGATTCTTCTTGGGCAATAAACATATTATCTTTGACATCTGTAAAAACGGTTGGCATCATGAAGAATCCTAAATAAATAAAAATAACTTTGGTTAGAAATGATATCAAAATAATGAAAAAAAAGATGCATTTCATTTTGACAAACATTTTGATTCTTAACTCAGGGATTTAAAAAAAAAAAAAAAAAAAAGGTTTCTTCAAAACATTTCTTCCTCATTACAGAACATGGCAGATTGGTCTGCAATATTATCACGTGATATGATTTCATGTGTAATGTGCATTTTCTAGAGAACCTGCTTGTTTGCCATGTGCCTCAACAACCCAGCAATAAACCTGTAGTAAATATAGAATACCCTTTTAAATGTTTTGTTTTCTGTGAAGTCAAGCCATGATGATATTGTGAAAAGTTGGCAAAATGAATGAACAGTGAGCATACATTGTTTCAAAAGGATTATCTTCCTTTTTATGAAAGCAAATTGTATCCTTCAAGTGTGACAAAGATCATAGATCACGGTGTGTTGGTGTAGATCAGCCCGTCCTGCTTTCTGGTAAAAGAAAAGAGAGAACTCCCCTCTAAGGCCACTTTCCCTGGGTTTGTATTGAGGTCAGCACTGTATATTTTCACATTTAAGACAACTTATAGATAAGACGAGACCCAAAATCTAGGTAAATTTGTGATTTTTATCTGATATCTGTTGTATATGACAACCGTTGTTACTTTATCACTACTATGAGAAATAATGATTGGTGTGAATGCATCCATAGCTCTACAAATCAAGAATGAAAAACATTTGTTTACATTAATTGTTATGCGTGTGTGTTGCTCAGTGCAACTTTTGAAAATTGTTGTGTAATTTTCTTTAAAATATTGCATTTTAATATGAAGTCAAGTAAAAGTAATTTTAGTACAGTATTATAATTGTATTTGTTTCAAGTAGAAATATTTACATTGGTAGTTACTATACTGAGGCAGTCGTTAGACTACTGCAATCCATGGTGCAAGCATACGAGCCTACTTACCACTGCTGATACACCACAGGATTTAAGGTTAGCATTTTGTAACTGTTGTATTAGACAACCCCTTATTTTTGGGGGTTATTTGTAAGATTTAAAGGTCGCCTTATATACAGAAATATACAGTAAGTGGTCAGAGAGTGTGAGTAGGATTGTCCTTTGCTTTGGTCCTTGATATTTTGGTTTGCTTATCCAAGCATCTGGTTTCAGAAACAAAGTTTATTAATCTGCCCTTAAGAATGCCAGCGTTGTTTTAATTAGGTGCTAAGGAGATAATAAGTAAGAGATACTTTTCAGGGGTTTTATGAAAAATTTTTTATTTTATTTTTTATTAGACTTTTACTTTTTGGCTGAGATCAAACTTTTATTCCCCTTATATTGAGGAAACTGCATTTAAGCTAAGTGCGCTTTAGGCCAGCAATTTCTTAAAAAGTCTGGATTTACTGTGAAGTTTTTCATGTCTGAACAATCTAGAGCATACTTAGCTTAAAGATGGTTTCTACACTGTAAGTGGGATGAAAGTTCAATCCCTGTCAAAAGGCACAATTTCTTTGTTAATATTTTTGAATATCTAGACCAGTAGACATCATTCACAATGAAAAGGAGCATCTCCCCAAACCCGTGGATTCATTAAATATAATGTTTATAGTAATATGACATAATGTTGAATTATAACTAAATGTTGCATTATCCATTAATGCATATTATTGCTGAGCTTATTTATTAGGTGGTGCTGAATGTGGTGAGTGGGTAGGATTGTCCTTTGCTTTGGTACAGGTTCTTTGATCTTTTGTTTTGCTTATCCAAGTATTTGGTTACAGAAACAAAGTTAGCTGATTGATCTGTCCCTAAGAATGTTGGTGTTAATGTTAATAAGGTGTTAACAAGATAAGTAGGTGATACTTTTCAGGGGATTTAAGAAATATTTTCATTTTATTTATTAAACAGACTAAAACTACAGTATAAAACCAATTTTGTTTGGATTTACTTTGATTAAATGAGAATTTCTGTGGAAAAGAAAATGATTTTTTTAAGGTTTTAGGTTTTCTGAATTTGGAATAAAAATTGTGTTGCTGTCATAAAAAGTAAAATTATTAAAAAAAAAAACTAATTTTGGTTTTTTGCTGTAAAGGGCATTTAATGTTAAATGATTTAGTTTTATAAGCTGAGAAATCTCAAAACATCAGAAATGTGTTTTTGTTACCTTTGCAATCCACTCGTTTACCGCCATAAACCAATGTGGCTCCTTCTTTAACGCCAATCTCACAATACTCAACAAGCTTGTCTAAATGAGATTTGTGATTCTGTGGCCCATGGTCAACAGAACGATCAAGAGGATTTCCGATCTTCATCTTCTGGATTTCTTGGACCTGTAAAGAGAGAATAAAACTCAATCATTTGTTTGTTTAATGGCATATCAAAATCCTTATGGGTCATTTAATGCCATGATTACATTTTCTTCAGAGCTTTAAAGGAATAAAAATATGATATGTTATTCTGTTTTCACAATAGAATACATGGTAGATGATACTCAGCTTTTGTGCATATACATATTTGTGTGGACATAATTACTAGAGGTGGTGATATGTGTTTTATGTTGTAGTTTTGTTGAGGTTATATTTTAGAATACAGATTTATTTAAGAAATTGTAGAGCAAAAATGTATTGCTGGTATTTTTATCATAAAAATCTATCTTTATATTTTCATAATGTTCTAACCCCATTTTGGGGGTTCACTATTTGCCCATAGCTGGGACCCTGACAGGTGCTACCACCCCAGGTCTGGGTGGACCTGGGAACAACAGCAATTAAGAGGTGGTTCCATACTCCTCAAAACCTCCTGATCAGAGGCCTTGCTGCTAGATGTAGTTTATCATCATACCCAGGATGTAACACTCAAATCATACAGTCAAAGCAGATCTTTGAAGAAACAGACACAAAATGTCTTCAGACAACAGACAACCATGAAGTAACAACTAAATTATATTTTCTTCCTCATTCAGAATTGCTATGAAATTTCAGGACAAAAAAAAAAAAAAAAAAATCATCTAAAAGGGACTTAAAAAAAAAAAAAAAAAGATGGAATGATCAGTATTTGATTTAACCTTTATCAGTCTGGATGTGACTTCATTTGCTGTGCAAAAAGTTTACCTTGCCACTGAAGATGATGATCCCTGAGCAATAGTATGTTTGAATTTCATAGTTGTGTTATCATATCCTTCTATGGCAACCAAAAACAACTTTGAGTGAAATTAACAATAAGGATACTGCAATTGAGAGGACTTGAAAAAGAATGCAATGGAAAAGGAAGTGATATTAATTATGCAGTGTGCAAAAGGTTTAATTAAAAAACAAACAGAAAAATGATCATATGAATATTTAATTCCAATGGCAAAAATTAAATTAAAAAAAAAAAAAAAAAATCAATGACTTTTTAAAATGTGGTTTAATTGAAAGATAAGGTAAATTTTTAGTCTGTGATTTAGCCCACTTGGCCTTGCCAAAAATGCCCATTAGGCAGTCTATAAAAAGACACACATATCCTCTCAGATTCTTACTCCGAGATATAGTAGCATGTAGGTAAAGGTGTCCCCACTGGGGCCTGTCTGTTTCCCTGTCCCACTGATGACTGAACTCTCTCTCTCTCTCACACACGTGTGTATGTGTGACCCCCACTTCAAACAAGCATATTCTTAATCGCATAATTTTTGATATCTTTTCCTTCACTTTCAATTATGTACACATGTAATTCTTCTGGTTAATACATACATTTAATTGTTTGTTTTATAATTATTGCTTTTCTTATTTATTTTTACCCAGACTCACATGAGTTCACCAAATATTGTTTATGGGACAAATGTTCCAGGAGCCCATAAATATTTACTAAAAAAAAAAATGTCCACACCTCGCAACTAAAGCGTGAAGGATTTTCATCAACTTAACACCATTTTCTTTTTTAATTTACATGACAAACTGGATTGTTTTGATGATTCAGCTGAGCAATTTCAGTTTCCATGTAGTTCAATGGATTCTATCTGGCTGCCCAGATGAAGTAACTGATTCTATCTGGCTGCCCAGATGAAGTAACTGCATTCAATTTTGTTGTTTGATTTAATGTTTCCACAATTAAAAGCTTGTGCCTATGTGTATTTTGGCAGATTTAAGTTTATTCTAAGCAAGATTTAAGGCAATCTTTAAACAGTATTCCCATCTTCATCAATAATTCTAAGTATCTCTTTATTTCAATTTTTCAATCTAAGTATTACTAATTTACTTATAAAATACAAGTTTACCTAATTTTTAAGTTTTACATATTAAACTTATAAGGTTAATCCTATTAATTGTAAATTTTACTTACTTGTAAAATTCACACTAGTCATAATACAATATCAATCTTTTTACATGAATTCTATCCTGGGTAATTTGTGATTTTGAAATGAGAAAATATCACAAAACCTTTGCACAAACAATGATCTACAAATCTCTTAAATTTGGCACATGTAACTGTATCCCACCATTTGATCACAGCACCAAATAAAACCCATTCACTCAATAGGGGCACACAATATACACATGCTCCTGCTAGTTGTGGTAGCAATTTTCCCCTTTTATTGCTGTTAGTACCAAATACCAAGTGAATAGTACATGTAGACAGGTGTGTTTCATTTGTTTGAGGTTTCCACTGGCTGCTGGTCCCCAGATATATTGATTGTGTGCTTTGGTTTATATATGCTTCTAATTGACGGATGAAAGTGATGGATATTATCCCTGAAAAAAAAAAAAAAAAAAAACAACTTCATATTAACATTGCATTTGACCCATGTTTCTCAAGCACTCAGTGCACAGAAACCACCATCTTTCATAGATCGTCTATTTAGAGATGTTATATCTGCTTGTTTGTCACTTACCACTCGCTTGACAAACTCATCGTGGATGGCTTCTTCAACAAATAGTCGGCCAGCGGCAATGCAGTTCTCTCCTTTGTTGAAGAACACACTGTTGCAACCCTGCAAAAATAGATAAGTTACTTTAGACACAATAAAACCTGCATACATTCAACAGATGTTACAGTACATTGGGACGTTCAGGTAATGCAATTGTAATTAGTGCAGACAGTCAATCAAAATGTTGCTGGTTGTATGGCAAGTTTTAATACCAATTTCTCTTTGATCATTATCAGGGAATAATTCCTATTTCTGTCTATATCTCTGAGATGAGGTATTATGATTACTTGCATTATTTACATTATTCGAACTGTTATCCTCATCTTCATTGCCATATTCATAACGTTTCGGCCGTTGTACACTCCGGCCTTTATGTCGATGTCTCTCTCTCTATATATCTGTCTATATCTCTGAGATGAGCTATTATGATTACTTGCATTATTTACATTATTTGGACTGTTATCCTCATCTTGATTGCCATATTCACATATATATGGCAATGAAGACTGAGGATAACAGTTCGAATAATGTAAATAATGCAAGTAATGCCTATTTGCTTACAAGTTTCTCTACAAAATCCAAATGTCAATTACTTACCAATCGGACAGCTTTATCCAAGTCACAGTCAGCAAATATAATAAGCGGAGATTTTCCTCCCAATTCCAGGGAAACCTTCTTTACATTACTTTTTGCACAACTGACAATTTGGAAAAAAAAAAAAAAAAAGAAAAGAAAAAAATTAAAGTTGTACTGGATTTTCTATAATTCATAAAATATCAAAACTGACTTTTTTAAACTAATTTTGTTGTTTCTATTGTTTTTGCTACATTTTGGCTGTTCTACTCTAAAGCTTTCTGCAAGTATCAAATGCATTCAGTAATTCAGTAACCCTCTAGCTATAGTGAATGAAACACTTTATTCAATTCATGGGATGTGCTGTTCTCAGTTCTGTATTTGTTTCATGTGGAGTCTTTTGCAAGAAATTTAAAAAAAAAGAAAAAAGAAAAGAAAAAAAGAAGAAAAAAAAGAAAAAAGAAAAGAAAAGAAAAAAAAAAAAAAAGAAAAAGAAAAGAAAAAAAAAAAAGAAAAAAAAAAAAAAAAAAAAAAAAAAGAAAGAAAAAAGAAAAGAAAAAAAGAAAAGAAAAAAAGAAAAGAAAAAAAGAAAAGAACTTATCAATTTTGTTTTATGTTGCTTATGTCAAAAGGTATACTTTGGCATGACTTGACCCAGGAAATGAATTCATCACCTCCAGGGAACCACAATCCGCTATCCCATGTCAGGTAGGATGAAGTGAATTGTTTCTTTATGTCTTAATCTAATCTCTTATTCCTAAATGATGCATGGGATATGCAGTATGACATAATGGTTATCAATATGAATATTAGAATCAAAGAACTGAGTTCCAGATTCACTTATGGCTGCATCACTTCATGTTGATGCCCATTCTTCTCCCAGTTATGCACAAGTTTTAGGGAAGACTTAGCTTGGCTGTCAACCAGTCTAGAAGAAAGACAGCTCTGATTCCTAAGGTGTATTGATAGTAAACTACTTCCTTTCCGGTAACTCCTGCAACCGAAAAAAAGATGCTGGTTGCAACAATTCATGAAATGACTAGGAAAAAAAAAAAGATTTTTGTCTAAGTTTCCAAAATCATTCTTTTCCTAGTCATGAATTTTTTTGTTTAAAGTTTCAAAGAGAGTGAAATGACATTCCTTCTTTAAACAAAAATGTTCACACGTAAGTTGCTGTAAAAATTCTATTTTATCCAGCTGCAACCATCAGAATGGTTGTTAAGCTAGAGAGAAAAAGAAATGTTACTATTTATACTCAGCCTAATGACCGAGTATAACATGCATACAGCTTCCTTTAAATCTCTTATTTTCTAATATTGTTCAGGATCTATTAATTATTAATTTAGATCAAAATAGTAAAGATTTAATATTTAATTTCATAGTCAAAAAGTAAAAACGAATAAAATTTGTTAATCTTCGATCATTTACCTTTCCATTATAGTTTTACCAATTGGAGTGGATCCTGTAAAGCCAAGTTTTCGGACATCTGGATGTTCTGAAAGTGCTTGCCCCACAACAGAACCTACAACAAGAATAGAAAATTTAGGATTTAGATTATAAAGGAAAGAATATATTTTCTATGCCACTCAGTATTTACAGGTTTTGTGATTCAAAGTTGAAAATGATTGTTTTGTAAACAAACTTTTGAGGCATCATTAACTCTTTGAATATTCAATCAGCTTTTCTTCAAATACATTGCATTATTTTGCATTTAGACTTACTCTTTAACCACATATTTATTGATGTAGCAGACATGAACATGGACATTCCCCAAAATTTGGTTGAGTTGAATTACCCATATATATATATATATATATATATATATATATATATAACAATCACGAGTCGTGTAGCCATTAGGGTCTAAGGGGCACCACACATACTACAGCTGTAGTAGTAGTAGTGTGCCTTAGGCAAGATAACCTGACAGAGCCCAACCCTCTCCAAGCTGGTTTGAATTCAGAGTTTTCCTTCTCCTAGACTAGTCACCAACAGAGTCTATACAATCCTCATTGTGTGACTTATGTTGTTCTTTCAACCAAAACAAGGGACACCAGCTTAGTGTGAAAAGTATTAACACTTTAATATTGAAACACAAACATAGACATTTCTTTCATTTTGATCTGAGGACGACCATCTAAAGATGCTGAAATGAGTAATCAAGTCAATAAAACACTTTTCCATTTGTTAATATATATTACACACACACACACACACACACACACACACACCTGTTTATATCTCCACAATTCCAGTGTGCATGATGCCAAATACAATACCACCAAGATATCTTTTATTTTGACATGGATAAATTTCTATTAAATAATCAGAAATAAAATTCTAAGATCAAACATTGAATAAATTTGATACAATAAATATGTAACTACAGCCATCTTTACATGAATTAAAATTCAAGGTGCAGAGACCAGTGAAATGAGAGATGAATTTAGTTTACATGGAAGATGTTTTGTCAAAGTTTATAAAAATCAAAGACAAGGCCATTTTTCATGAATGGTATGTAATTTGTACATGTAACATTTGTAAAGTTTGTTTTCAAACCTTTAGAGTATTAGGGAAATACAAATGATACTGAAGACAAATAAACTTGCAATAATCCAAGTATGTTTATTCAAGAGGAAACCTACAATTAACATTTGTGGATTACAATAAATTATTATATATATACTGATTGACATGTGCACAGGTTCCAAAATGAAGTGTTTATCAACAATGCATAGATCACATATTAATAAAGTGCATATTCTCTTCAGGTGTTAAATCTAACATGCATATAATCATACAGATGGTATAAATACCACCCTGTGCTACATTATTGCATGTCTTTTGCACATTTTGATGCAATATTGTAGGTATTATAAGTGGGCTAACTGAAAGAGTCAGGTATCATCCCATCATGTCCCATATTTGTTCAATGGGAGACAGGTTCAGTGATTGATTAGCTTTGGAAGTTGTCCAACATCTTGCAGAGTGTGTTGAATAGCATGGACATCATGTGCTCAGGCATTATTTTGTTGGAACAGCTTATCACCTTCCTCAGGGTTGAACAATATTCTGGACATATGTGGCACTGATCTGTGTTCCTTCCACAAATACCAATGGCAAATGAGCATTATAAATTATGGCAACTGGCAACATGATGCCAGGAGCTATGCCTGTGTGTTTTTGGGAATACACTTTGGTAGATATAACTCACCAGGTCACAAATTCAAATGAGTTGCATGAAGGCAGAACCTGCTCTCATCACCAAACATGACAGAAAATGATTCAAACCCCCAGGTCACAAATCCAAATAATACTGCTGGAGATATGTATGATAGTGTTGTGGGCTAAGTGGAAATCTGGTTAGAGATACACATATGCATTCTGCAATTGGATGTAAGACAAAAACATTGCAAAGTCAGCAGAGGGCCACAAGAATTATGAAGTGCCAACACACTCTCAGATTCCTTAGGAAGGCTAGTCTGCACGTGGTGGAATGCTAAGTCAATGAGTGGGCATGTTTTCCTTCCTTCTACCTTCTAGAATCAATAAAATCATTTCCGTCCTTCTCATATAAGAAAATGAATAAGAAAAAGAAACAGTCTTTCATTGATGCAATGTATGAAGTGGCATTGGTGTCTGAAGTGCTGAAGCCAGTGGCAATATGGAATGCAACACCTTGTTGTCAATACCAAAATAATACTGATATGTCATGTCTAGCATGCACAGCAATTCTTTGAAATGATCATCTATCCTATTTGAAGACCCACCATCAGACCCCTCCTCTCAAACAGCTTTAATTAAACAAAGCTGTGTGTGTGTGGGGGTATGAGACCTGCTTGTACTATGATCTTTCACCAAAGTGAACATTATCATAGGATGTATTACCCTCTAAAAGCTCAGAGACAGATGGTGCACTCGTATGAGTGTTACTATATCACAAAACAGCTGAATGTTTTGAACATTTTATCAGAATATCTACTATCTCTGCAGCATGTGCATCCTGTACCTGCAACAATATCAATATCATTCTTAAGGGTGTGGCAACTGAACTTTCTGTAAACGTATTTTGAATTCTTATCATATATTGTAAAAATGCACCATGGAATTTCCAAGGGTCTTGCTGGTTAAATATTGATTCATAGCTAAATCTTTAAATAATAGTGTATGGAAAGCTGAGGGGGAGAAGGAGATGATGATGATGATAAATTCTGACAAAAGACATTGCTTACCTGATCCTGGAAGTATATTTATGACCCCCGGGGGGAATCCCGCCTTGACAGATAGTTCAGCAAACTTCAGAGCAGTCAGTGGAGTTACCTGAATGACAGGAAAGAAAATCAATATGAACAGAGTTTGCTGCATAATGACATCTACATGAGTCATTCAGTATTAAATTCTCTGCTTCATCTAGTCTTCAACAACAAACAAAAATAATGATCATTTGGTTTCAGTGACTATTTTTCTTTCATCAAGTTCAAAGATTTGTTTGTTTAGTGGCATATCAACTCCTCATGGGTCATTTAATGCTGAATTTAATTTTTTCTTGAGCATTAGTAATTTTCTTTACAAAAATGTATTGCTGGTATTTTTATGCTTTCATAGTGTTTTGCATTTGTTTGGAAGTGGTTCACTATTTGCTCATATCTGAGACCCCCTAACAGCTGCTATGACCCTGGGTCAGGGTGGACTTGGGGACAACTACAATTAAGATTTGCATCCATGCACCTCAAAACCTCCAGTCACCTTTATTAAAATAAACACAGTCCATTGTTCAAGGCAGTTTAGCTGAAACGAAAAGTCAGAATATTGTGTGCTTCTACATTTCTTTCTTTTCATTCTTCATTGAATAACAAAGACAAAAAAGAAAGAATTGTTTGCTGAGAATTAATTTTCTTATGCAACTTTTAATATTGCCTTTGCTTTCTATTTCAAATCTCGGAAAACCTGAAAATGTTTGAATTTTGATTTGACTATATTTTGAATGAATAAATAACCGTCATGATCAAGTATAGACATTGTCTACAGGTGACAGTAAGCAAAAAATGCCATGAAAACAGAAAAAAAACCTTAGACTATTTCAAATGAATTTTGATGATGTACAGAGACAATAATTGTCTTCCCTTGGATTGGTGACAGGGATTAGAATATTGTGTGTCTGTTGGTCACGTGTAAATTCAGCCCCTTACCAAACTTGCTTCTTGTGGGGTCTTTTTGCTCTTGTTCATAGAACCATTAATGTCACTCTTTCCTTAAGTCTGCATATGTGGAAAATGGTCATTATTTTTACTACAATTGTTTGAACGGAACAAGACCCTCATCTCCAACTTAGTAAGCCATTTTGCATGTTTATCATTTATGTACCTTCATTTTTTTTTTTTCCATGCTTGTTCTTAAATCAACAGGTACAAATTGTACATTCATCTGTTTTGGGACAATTGTGATCTGTAATGTTTTTTAGTATTTATTAAATGTTTTAAGTGTACAGGGGTATCTCGTCTTTCATTTGAATTTAATCAGTGTTAGTGTATCTTTTGGCACTGATTGTTGAGTGATAGTAAAAAAAAAAAATCTTTCTTACCTGAGCTGGTTTCAGAACGACTGTGTTACCCGCAGCCAAACAAGCAGCCATTTTCCAAGAAAGCATCATCAATGGATAATTCCACGGAACAACAATACCACAGACACTAGAATTAAAATAAAAAATATTTCGTTAAAAAAAATTCTTCAAAGTGCCAATGTATTATAGCCAACAGAACATATACTGATTCCAGCCTTTACAATGTAGAACATAAGATGCAGAAAAGTCAGGATTTTTCAAAGACATTTCAATGTTATTCTGAGAGTTGCTTTTATATTCAAGTTGACAAAGTTCTCTTGTCTTTAAGTAAACAGTGAACCAAATGTCAGTAAATTTTAAACATTTCTTTCCACAAGCAAGACATATAACAAAGAGAAAGATACTCAGAAAAGATATGAGTTTTAAGCCTCTAATGAGGTTTGATTGCTTTACTCTTTTGTCAGAGTTTTATTTAATTGGGTGGGGAGTTATTGCAATGAAAGACATGCTGTCTAACTATAGACACTGTAAATAAAGAGTCTAACTTTCATCATGGAATGAATTAGAGTATAATGAAAGGATTTTGAATTATGAGGAATTACTCACCCAATTGGTTCTCTTTTGGTGTAAGTGAGATTTTTATTTGGTCTGGCATTGTTGATTGGAATTGTTTTGCCCTAAAATAAAACACAAATTGTAAATGAAAGGACAGTTTGGCCAGTTTAGAATATTTTTCTATGCACTTCCATTTTGCCTTAAAGAAAGCATTTCATTATTTGCTCTCTCAGGGATGGTATTTTAAATTTCTTTTTACACTAAGGTTCACCCCTATGCAAGGCCACTGAAGGTAGAGGCTTATGTTAAGAGGCAGTTTATATGGATAGGAGGGGAAGATAACAGTTAACCCTAGATTGAACATGTTAAGATTGTAGTGATTGGGGAAACATCCTCTTGGGAGTCAGTTCCACATATCTGTTTTGTGGGAAGAAGCTGTTTGAGTGGAACTTACTTCTCACTGATGGAATATGAAGGGAGTGTGCGTGGTTTGATACAGTATAAGTGGCATGGTGAGTCCTTGCCATGAAGATTAGAACTAGTGGAACCAAGGAACGTATTTCATCCGAGCACATTCTATGGAAGTAGCAATAGAGCAGCGAGACGTTTGCCATGTCCCACTTGTGAGAGAGAGAGAGAGAGAGAGGTTGGAGAGTAGAAAATAATTTATCAACCAAAAGGACTGAGATGCTTTTGATCTCTATTGAAACTGAAAAGCGAGAACTGGGTATCTCCTGCCCAAATATAACAATAGGACTCCATTTTTGGCATGATCTTGCTCTTGTAAATGCAGAGGATAACCTGAAGTGTCAGGTACTAACTCGAGCATTACAAGGAGCTGACCATTTTACCTGCATTTTTAGCAACGGATTGTATGTAAAAGTTTCATTTGAGATCAGTCATGAGTTTAAGGCCCAATAGTCTCTCAAGGCATAGTGCCTCCCTGAGGGACATCTGTTCATTATGACTGGTGGTATTTCGGTGTCCAATTGACGATGATGAAATGTAACTAGTTTGGTTTTGTGGGGCAAGGAGATTAAGTACTGAAAGAAATCCCATAAGTTAATCTGCACTGGCCACGTGTTAACTATCATATTTGTTGTACCATTGCTTAGGAAAGAAGCTTGCCAGAACTTATGCCTACTCTCGATTTTTTGGTTAGATGTTACACAATTATTTCACTATTACAACTCCTAAGGTTTTTCTTTTGGCAAAGACAATTCTAAGAATCAAATGCTTGAAAAGTGAATTTATTTCTGACTCTACAAATGCTATAAAATACTAAAATAAAAAAAAGAAAAAGAGTTTCACATTGCATATGCTAATACAAAAAAATTTTAAAAAAATCTTGAACAGCATAAAAATTATGGTGACCAGTAAGTTATAACCAACCTATGGGCCATCTAATCAGAAATGAAGAGTAGGTGTAATAATTTGGAGATGTGATTAAACTTAAGGAAGTATTATTGAGCTTGAAGGAGGCACAGCTAGACTGCTTATTTATAGTATCTAAGTGAGGGAGAGTTCTTATTTTAGGGAAGACAATCATCATCATCAAGAGAGGTAACTCCTGTTGGTCTATACCACAGGAAGATGACTTTGTTAAGTAGGTTAAATAAGTAATTAAATGGGCAGCACCAGCAGTGTATATAAAGAAAAAAAAAATAGTCAAATTCGTTTTTGTGCTGATTTTTCAACAGGGTTAAACATATGTTTAGAATTCGTAAATTACCCATTACCAAGTGAAGAGGAAATTTTTGTGAATTTAAACCATGGAAAAGTTTTTTCAAAGCTGGATCTTTCTGAAGTGTATTTGCAAATACAGGTTGAAGAAGAATGTTCAGAGTTAATAACTATAAATATGCACAAGGGATTGTACAAGTTCATCTGATTTCCTTTTGAAATAAAAGTGGCTCCAGCTATATTTCAACAAGTTATGGATACTATGCTTGCAGATTATTATTTTGCAGTTGCTTATATGGCTGCTGTTTTTTTCCACTAGTAAATATTTTATTTCTTAGTATTTAAACCCCTCTTTCTGGCAAGTGCTACACGTACTGAACTTTGTATTTCTTTTGTTGACTCAAAACCCCTTGTAACACAAATGAACTAGGCAAGACATCTTAAATAAAGAACTTAAATTAAGTCTGGGGAGGTCTGTTGGAGTCAGTCGAAGAGAAAGAATAGATGATGTCATGGCAAGTAGTCGAAGCAAGACATCAGATTATAATTGCTAGGAGTGAGTTATAATCAATATTACTCAAGGTGATTATTGCTCTCCACAACTTCCTATCCTTTGTAGCTCTAAGCAATGTTTGTTCACTTACTGTCTTTCCCAGTTCCTCTGCCATTCATTTACACAAGTTCATTAGATAAGTTACTTGCCCTGCTTTGCCTTAAATATGACCTGTGAGGGTCAAATTCTTCAAGCCCTCTTTCCTCATTATGTGTCCCAGAAATTTCAACTGTCTTTTTTGTATTCAACACATGACCCAAAAAGGTATACTTACTTGAATCTTATCACACCAACCAGCAAAATATCTGAAAGTATCAATCGACATTCCCACATGTGTTTTCAAAGCCAATGTGTACACAGCACCAGAATCAATAGATTCAATGGTCGCCAATTCTTCCCGGTGTTCATCCATTAAATCAGCCAGTCTAATAAAACAAAACAAAAAAAAAAACAATTTCTCATTCATGCAATTCCCACTTTATGCAATATTAAAAGTTAGGGTTAAGAACCCCCACCCCAAAAAATAAATGACTTCATTACCTGTATATCAGAGCACCACGATCACGAGCATTCATCCGGCCCCATTCTCCATTTTCAAATGCTTCCTGTCAGTGTACAAAAACTTACAATTAGAATTGTTCATCATTAAAAATATCGACGAGATCAATTTAAATGCAATTTTCAGGACACAAATTGTTTAATTAAATAAAAATTGAAGTAAAAAAAAAAATTGAGATTATTAAGCGTAAAGCTTGTAGATCTTGGCAAAGACACCCCCCCCGCCACCGCTTTGAAACTTGTGAACTGGTGCTACACAATAACAAAAGAAAAAACTTGAAGAGAAAATCTTGAAAATCAAGATGTTGGCATTAGAAACAATTTCAAATAAAACATTAGGAAGGAAATCACCGTCAATAGTGGAAAGGGCAATAGCAGCTACTGAACTTGAGAAACCTAGTTTCCTAAAAAGTTGTTTTAAGAGAAAAAGATTTTATAAATTTTAACTGCCTACTCTGTCAATAAATACTGAATGTTTCCTTATAAGGAAATGGCTAATATTAGCATTAGAAATGATGAGGACAGATACTACACTTTTATACTAGGCTGATATTCAGGGAATGAAGAAAACTTGGCTTGAGTAGCATTGGTTGCTCGGTAAATGAATACCGAATGTTTCCTTATAAGGAACGGCTAATATTACGCTTACCATTAGAGATTAGGAGAACAGATACTACACTTTGATCCCAGGTTGATATTCAGGGAATGAAGAAAACCTGGCTTGAGTAACATCGGCTGCTCGGTTAATGAATGCCGAATGATTCCTTATAAGGAAATAGCTGATATTACCATTACATGAGACTAGGCAACTCTCCAATGACTTTTGGCATGCTAGTACCTGACAGGTTCACAAGTTAACCTCTTTATACAGAAATATACTTTTAAGTAATACAAAACAATGATATTACAAGGGAAGCTTTAAAATTTGTGTCTCTTGTTTATTTCAATAGAAACAAGAACACATCAGAGTACAAATGAAACTGTTGAATAAAGTAAGTTTTAATACACAAAATACTTTTTCTTGACAGTCACTACCAATGGCTATGCATTTTTGCTAGAGTGGACACACTTTTCCACATTTTATTACCACCACTGCTGAAAGGCATTACCCACTGCCTGACTGTACCCATATCCAATATTTCATCTCTGTTAATGTTTAGCAAGTGTTGATAATATTATGAAGGAGGCTCTAACATTTTGTCTCATTTCCATGTAAACAACAACAGACAGAAGGAGGACAATGACACTGTTGGAAAGGGCAAGTTTTCATATGCAAAATACTTCTCCACATAGACACTGCTACATGTTACACACTCATGAAACCAGAGACAAAAGTTGAGGGCATCATTTCACGTTATGTGGCAGAGCATTTGCTGTTTATCAACCATTTACTGCATCAAAGACGAAAAGACATTGCAATAATAAAAGAAGCATTGTGCACCAAATTCATGGTTGATTTGTTTGTAGCCTATAAAGAGTGTACAGTGAGGCAGCCTCACTCAGGCAAATAAATTGCTGTGTTTGTAGCAGAGTTACACAGATTATCAACTTCATTTGGCATAATATCTGTTATGATGTTGATTTGGGGTTAATAAAGACAAACGCCAAATAACACGTAACAATAAAAAGGGGTTTATTCGGTTGGTAAGTAGGTACAGAAATCGCCTGAGTAGTCTATAACTAACTCAGCCAAGAACTTCTCCGACTGTCTGTCTTTTGACATGCCACTATTTAACGTCTTTGTTTGTAGACAAGTTCATCTTCAAGAGGGGTGGTAGGTTTCCTACACAACAATATCTGAGCACAGTTTAGCCCCAGGCATTTGTGAAGGGGCAAAAATATGAAGCAACTTCTTGATGAATAGATTTTGTTGGTTCCAATCTATACTGGGAATGACTGCAAAACATTTCCCCCTCCCCAAAAAAAGCACAAATGCATGATGGGATTTCTTCTTAGCCAATAAAATAGGATGGTTCTTGGTTTAAAATAACTCAACCCCAGTCTGTTTTGTGTAGATGTCAGAATGCTACACTCACTTGTCTGAACTTGCCTTTGCGTCTCAACCCCAATTCTTAGTTTGTGAACTTTTTACCTTATTACTGTTCATTTGCCTTACATATATGGCTTGATTTATATTATATTTTTGCCATGTTCTTTTCTTTTCTTTGTTATTGCAAACTTTGTCAAATCTGTTTATTGGGCGTTTCTGTCATTTATTTACATTTAACCATGGCCACTCATTCTATAGATTTTATGAATGGTGACCAACTGCTGACCTGTACCAGGTCAATATTGAAAAATAAGTGGGAGTATTAGGCCTGGCCTCAGTAACTACGTGTACAAAATGGTGGAACCAACATCAAGATTGCGCTACTTTGTGGTGGCTGTGATAAGGCATTTCAAGATGGCCATTCTTGATAGATAACTAGAGATAAACAGATTTGAGGTAGCTTATCTACATGCTTTCAGTCAAAGTGGTGACTAGATTATTTATCAGTTGTAAACATTTGTGAACAATTCAGCTGAACTAAATTTGTGTTTCTTTGTTCACCAAGTTTTGTTTGTAAAAGACTTTTGTTTTTGTTGTTGGACCAACTTTGCTAAATATCTGAATATTCTTTTATTAAAAAGAAAGATAAAAGCAGATGTAATATTTAAACAGGCCAAATGTTATTCATCACCACAACTGTTAATAAGTAATCTAAACTTTTTGGTAAATCTGGTGTGGGTGATGAATTACCCTGCAACTCCTTTCCTCATAGATGAAAAGTTGCAAGCCTCTCTTTACTCCATTGCTATTTTCATGTCAAATGTTCAGATGAGCTACATTCCTTACTTCTACCAGTTCAGACCTTCACAACTAGGACCTTCCATGCCGCATACACAGGGTTGAATCATTCCCATTTCCTGTATATTCCATTGGTAGAGAGGAAGTTCCCCTCAAACAATTTTTCCTAAAGAACTGTTACTTTGTGAAACAGACTCCTGAGAGGATGCTTCCCTGATTACTACAATCTTCAATGTTAAGATAAAACAGTATTTAATTACAACCACAATTAAATAACAAGAACAAAGAAGTAAAAGTCAATCAAAGATAATTAACCATTTTAGTGAATACCTTGTTAGTAGTGTGGCTCGGCTTAACATCCAGTAAATCCTAAATCAAAACCCAAATCATGGACACACAATAATTCACATTAATTCAAATGGATAATTCCACTCAATCACTGCAGTCAGTAGGCTGACACTGCTATTTATAAACATATTCATAAGTTCAGAGTGTCAGTAGTTATTCATTTTCTTCCTATATGACAAGATTGAACTCACTAACAACAGCTTACAAGATCATTTAATCACCACAGAGAATCTTTTTTGTCACCCATCAGCATGTTTGATGCTAACCTTCAGAAGAATAACTCTCTGTCTCTTCTTGGATTCAGGTTTTTCACAGATATGAATTGCAGTGATTATATGAATTGATGGATCTACTGTTAGGAACATTTGCTCACTATGTCATGTTTACAATTTTTATTGTCACAATCCATCTTGCATATTCATAAATCTACCATTCATTCGTGCATTGAATGTTGCTGCCATATCCAATCTGGTGATCTTGGAATTTGTGAAAAAAAATCCAAAGAATGGTTTGTAATGAAATCAATCCTGACCTGGCATCTTGACTGGAAGTCACATTCCTGCTGTTGTAATGTGGCTTCTCTTTGTCTTTTCTACAAATATTTTCATGGCAATTGTTCTGTTGAGATTTCTACCTTGGTGCTTTGATTGCATACTACTAGATTGGCAATTAGGTCTCATTGTTTTACTGTACAAAAAGCTAAATGTCAGTTCTATTCTAATAGTTTCTTTTCTTGCACTTCTCTCTTTCAGTTTCTTGTTTCCCTGATAACTACAATCTACAAAAAATTAAATGCAACATTAATTGCCATCTTCTGTCTTATTGAATCTCTTCTTTTATTGACCTTTCACCTCACCAAAATCTTCTAATTCTCTTTCACTCCCAGTAACCCTTTGCATCTTAGTTGCTTTGGGTGAAATGATTTAAAAAAAAAAAAAAAAAAAGAGAAAAAAGTTTAAGACCTGCACAAAGATGGAAACTAAAGTCACTTCTCAATGTTATATTTAAGGATTATTTGATAAATAAACTTTTTTTTTAATTATTACCTTTGCAGCTTCCACAGATCTTTGGACATCGTCTTTTGTAGCTTTCGAAACTTTACAGATGACCTAAAATAAGGAAAAGAATTAAAAACTAAATAATAGTTCAAGAAATCAATTATTTCTTTGTAGAAGAGAATTATCAACAATTTTGATGCTCATCTTCAGTGATGATTACTAAAAGTACAAAATCAGAGAACAGAAATAGAATATTGTCAGAGTAAAAATAGAGCTACATAAATATGCCAAATTCCTCTTTTATCAGAAATTCAAGCAACCAAAACTTGACCTATTTCAACAGGAACTTATTGCAAAGTAAACAAGCCAACAAGTTTTATGACTTCTGCTTGAATCAAATATTTGGCAATTCAGTCATTCCTAGTGATGGTAAAGAATTTGTCCCCCCTCACCAAAATTAAAGATTTACAATAAATCTTCTTTCTAATGTATTAATCAAGAAAGATCGACTTCTAGAGAAAAAAAGAAGTTTTTTTTTTATCAGTTTAATGTTAAGTTAAAATACAAAAAAACACTAAATTAAGGCAAGAGATATTTACACTTTCATCAGCCGGATTGATTGAATCATATTCGTTGCCATCAGATGAATCTACAAATTCATTATCAATGAAGCATTGATGGGGAAATGAAATCTCCATGTTGTTGATATGCATTTTCACCTGGAAAAGAAACAAAAAATGACAGTGAATATCTTACAGACTTTTTATTTGAAAATTTCTTTACAATGTTTTAACAAATATATCTTTTTTTATGTTCAAAATTCTCATCTGGTTGAGCTGTCAGAATTTTAAACAATTAAACTGAGGAAAAAAAAAAAAAACAAAGAGTAATTTTACTAAAAACCTCAGCGTCATTTCAGTTTTATTTCCTGAAAACCTGAACATCATTTCTTGACTGCGTTCAAACATAGCAAAATATCCAGAGCCTGAGAGGTGCCATTTTTTGGGGGGAAAGCTTAATTAATAACCAAATGATTTCATTCCCAATGTTAAATAATCAGTTTCATAATGAATATTATATTTTTATAGTTTTTGTTTTTATTAATAAGTTTTATTTATTTTTAATAATCCAGTGTTTGCAAGCACATTTAAATTTTCTATTAAAAACAAACAAAAAATGCTATGTAAAGTTTGAATGAAGCTATTGGCATATTTTATTTTTGACCGAGAGATAAAAATTTAGAAATTCAACATATATACATACATAGTATCTGATGTTTAAATATAAAATAAAAAAATTAAAAAATGCTGACATCAAGTTTATTTGCTGAGGAAGGCTTTATTGAAAGTACAGCTTATTTTTTCCAACAGCTGTTCTTGTATGAAATCCCTGTCCACTATGATGCAATGGGTATCGCTCACTCTGGTGTGTGTGTGGGGGGGTGTAAATGGGAAATTAGACAGTGGAGTTCATATTGAAAGAGACATGACTGCCCAAGCTGTATCAGATGGTACTTGACTAGTTGTATGAAATTACACACACATATAAACAGTTTATCTTAATAAAGCAAATCACCAGATAAGGAATATGTTACTACCATCTTCCAGATGAAGATGACTGGCCTTGAAAAATCAGCGTCAAAAATCCCGTTATTCCCTGGGAACCAATGAAATATTTAATTATTTAAATCTAAATCAAGCCGTACGAAATAAATAATCATCATTGTGTTTTGTTACTAGTTTCATCCAAATCAATCAACATACAAGAATTGTTAAAGAATATGACAGAAGATTCAAAGACAAATGATTCTTTACCGCATCAAAGACAAGTGGTTCCTCATCAGTAATGCCTCTACTGCGCAAGACAACATAGTTGCTCAGTTCCTCGAATGTTGTGTTCATGTAGACATGATCGTTTTCCAAACTGACACCAGAGCATTTTTCTTTGATTTCTTCTACCAAACTGAGAGAAAAAAAAGATACAGAAGAAAATTAAAAATGAATGTCAACCATGACAAATTCAGTAAAGAAATACTGAAAGCAAAATTCAAATCAATACATGAGAAAGTGTAAATTATAATCTTACATTTTGTGAACGTTCTCAATTGAAATGAGAACATTTTTTTTAAACAAGTCCCCATGTCCTATTGATGATACTTTTATTCTGCCCCCCCCCCAACTCATTTTATTAAATATGAATAAAAGATTTGTATTTCTATATTTTCTGACTGTTAAAGTTAAAAATAATGAGATAGGAAAAAAGTTTTGATTAACAAACTAGGGGGGGGGGAAGATTTCTTGGAAAGTAATTGCTGACCTTGGAATGAATACAGTTTGCAGAAAAAAAAATGTTGGCATTGTAGGAATTTGGTCTGTAGTTTCTGAACAGCCAAAAAGAAGAACAAAAATGGCTACTTTAGGGTTGAAGAAATTGAAGACCTAATTTGTTGTGCCGGTTAGAAGGAGGTGATGACACAAAATGGAAAAAATGCAGACAATTCCAAGCAAATGTTTGGAGAATTTTGTCTCAACACTGTGTCAGGACAGAACAAAATGGAATCTATTTTAGAAAATGAATGTTGAGGATTTCATGAATAAATCTATGGCAATAACTCGATTTAAATTTGCATGAGAATCTGACAAATGGTAAATAGGTTCTGTTATGACAATACAAATCTGTATAGTTTTACTACTTCTTTGTTCCTTTTTTTTTTTCAGTTTAGTTGCTTTTAGGTTAGTCACTATTTTTTACCACGTCCTGTTAGCCCTTAGTTATTACCAACAGGTGGTTCATATTTTTCTCATCCTCCTAAATGTACCAGACTCCCAATGATTGTATCACCAGAGTAGGTAATCATTAAAAACTTTTCTCTCTACATTCGTCTCCTTTAACGTCAAGTTATTATTTGAACATTTGTTTAAAGTGGCTGCCTTTTTAGACATTTATTTTACGTTTGTATTTCTCTATGTAAAATCCTTTTCACCACATATTCAGTTTCCAAATGTAACATTATTCTTCCTTTCTGGGAAGTTATCAAAGCAACTTTATATATATTCATGTAAGCAAAGTATTTGCTGCCCTCCTTTACCCATTGTGGCGAAATAAAAAGAAAACAGCAACCAGCGAGTAAATTCAAGCTCTCTCAGCTGGTATTCCAACCTCGAGTCGTTCCTTCTTGAGTTCTGTCTCAAAATCGCACTAACAGACTTTTCCAGCCGCCAACAGTGAACATCACCCAAAGAACCCCCCTACCACTGGGAAAAATTAGTTGCTTTTATATTTGTCCATATACCCATAATCTCTTGCGTCTTCATGCGATCCCATAATTCATTGCGTCCATGTCCCATAATGCATTGCATCTTTGTTGCATAAAAATGCAATGCAAGTCCCCCCTCATTCTTTTACGTTATCTGGCCGAGGACAGATTACGGCAGAGCGGTAAGTGCTTTTTTCTCCCTCATTTCAACTGCAGTAGCTTTACATGCTAAGCAAATACGGGCTCTTTTTTGGCGGGGACAAGGCAAGTCGCGACCAGTTGTGCTCGTCCCAGGTTCTGTCTCATCACGTCTGCCGCACTCATATAGACAAATGGTCTTGCTTCTATGTTCAACAAAGAAGGTTCTAATTACTACAAGAAAGAGAAATTTGACTCTACATCAATATGGAAAAAACTGCTGGTAAAAAAACACATGAAAGAACAACAGTTGGAAATTTCACCAAATCCAAGTCTAAAGAAAAAGAATCCCAGGTTATCATTACCAATGCCATTGTTTTTATTCCAAGAGTTGGTCAAATTCATTCTTTGCACTGTTTTTTTTTGTTGTTTCAACAATGATTCAGCCAAATCATTCTACAACCTTTTTCAGAAATACAATCTGTAAGAAATGATAGGAGGTTTATTATTTGCAGAAAAATTGGTGAAAACAAAAGAAACACTGGATCATATATTGAATGGCTTGGCTCATTCCCAGCAGTTTGAGCCACAAAGATGATGCCATATTTATACATATTGTACATCTGAAGAAGGCTGTAGAATTGCAACACAGAGGAAGAATTCAGTTGTTTAAAAGAAAAAAAACCCTCTGAAAATGATAATGGTTCTTCTCAAAATTATAAACAGTAACAGCTTTTTGAAGTTGGCATACATACCGTACAACATCCATGGATCCTGCCCCAGCTTTGAAAAAGTCTGTATTCTCATCGATTTCTATATTTAAAATGGCTTTCCAGATTTCCTTGAAGAAAAAAAAGTTTTAGAATTAAATTTTTGAATTGAAAAGTAAATATTTACATTGTTTGAACTGTTGTCATCTTCATTTCCATGTTCATGACATTTCAGCCGTTGTACGCTTTGGCCTTCTTCAGGTGATTGGAATTTTGAACTGAACTTGAAGATGAGGACAACAGTCTGAACAATGTAAATAGTGTAAATAATTACAATACCTTGTCTCAAAAATATAGACAGATATTAAAAAAGTAATTGTTTAGCAAAAGTTCTGCGAACCACTTGATAGAAATTTAATAAAATTAAAACCCTTTATAAAAAGTTAGCAATACATTTATATTGGGTATACAACAGCTTCATTCTGTCAATAATACTTGCATTAATTCCTGACCATAGACAATCCCTTTCTTCCTGATGTCAATGCACAACAAACATTGAAACCTGCTGAAACAAATTTTAGGTCAAAGATTGCAAAATTGTGTGGTTAATTATAAAAAAATAAAATATTCTCGTTCATTTGTCAAAGCAGAAGATTACAAAAGTAAAGAGATGGAGTTTAGTTTGTTTTATGGCCTATCAACACCTCAATGGGTTATTTAATGCCAACAAGATTTTTATTGCTGGTAATAATTTTTCTTTAAAAATTTATTGCTGGTATTAAAACCTATTTTTTACACTTTTATAGTGTTTTGATCCCAGTTTGGGAGATTAACTATTTGCCCAAAGCAAGGACCCTAACAGGTGCTACCACCTTGAGTTAGGGTGAACCTGGGAACACCAGCAATTAAGAGGTCATTCTACACTCCTCAAAACCTCCTGATCAGAGGCCTTGCTGTCAAATGTAGTTTATCGTCATACCCAGAATGGGAAGAGATGATAAAATCAATAAATACATAAATATAATCAATGATAAATTTATTCAAATGCATTTGGTTCAAAAATAACATCTTGATTATTGTTTCATTTTTTTTTTAACCTACAACCAGAATTTTCTGTGTCAACATAAATGTATCGATTGTAGTGATAGAATTTTAGATATTTATTAAATAAATCCTCCTCCTTGTAATATATTTATAGGTAATAGTGGTGGAGCTTCTGGTGGGATTCTTGACCCAACCCACTTCTTGAAATCTGCCTTTTATTTTGTCAATGTAAAGAAAGAGTTTTCCTTTATGTGGTTAAGCATCGATCTGCAGGATCCTTATGCCTATTCTAGAATTGGTTTAAGGTTTTTGACTGCACTATGTCAATGTAAAGTGTGGAATTTCCAAGTACTAAATATAGTGTGTGATCTGGGAAGCCTTCAATGGTATCTCCCTAAAATTGCTAATCATGTCCATGACCTAATGTTGGCTGACGGACATATCCTGCCTAAAAGAATTTCCAAGACACTTGAGATACTCAGAGAATCCATTAGACTTCTAATCAATGAGCAATTGGCTATGGCAGAAAGTGTCAGCCAAGTGAATGCCAAAATGTTTGAATGCCAACCAGAAATGATATTGAGTTGGCACCCTGTTGTATTTCATGTTTTCAAGAGAGAAATAAATAAGGAAGACAAACTTGTAGGTAAGTAATGAAATAGAAGGTTTACTACACAAAGGTACAATTAGCAATTGATCTAATGCTAACTCTCTTCAACTCCGCTTATCTATATAAATCAGGGGTTGTCAACTCATTCGACCCCGTGGGTCGGATCATGTTATAATGACAGGTTGCAGGCCGGACAAAGGCCATTAATGAAAAATTAAGGAAAATTACACATGCAGACCCCTGTCAACCTAAATATTTAAAACCATAATAAAAATAAACATTGAGAAATCAAAAAAACAAAAGAAAATCTAAAATTAAAAAAAAACACCTAACAAAAAATACTTTTCCCCAAGGAACGTCAAAATACTTCAAAGTGAAAAAAATCAACCGAAGTGAAATGGATGAAATTATGACGTGTAGGTTTGAAACTGTTATTGAAAATTGTTCTACAAACAAAGCACACATACAGCAAACAAAAACAAAGCACATATACCCATGCATATGAGTACAAATAGTTGCAAACATATACACTTACGTACGTACACATGCAGTATCATCCACACATTCATGAGGCATATATGTATAATGCGTGTATGTTTAACTGTCTTTAGGTTTCTGCTACCTCGCATGTCAGACCCTCTCTGGCTTCTTTCACTTTATCGTTCCTTTCTCTTCTGTTATCTTTTAATGTAGCCAAGGATTATAACAAATATGTATCCATTATTTGACATTAAATGTAGGCAATGCAACTTGGTAAAATAAGTCATGAAAGACAACTGGCAGATTGTCTACACATCTCAGTGCACTAAAAATATTAGACTTTCTATGGAAAATGACATAACAAATTTCATTTGAAGGTCGTCTCTCATGTTAAAAATAGAGTCATTGGTAGTCAGGCTCGTTGGCCGGTCAAAATGCCTTCGTGGGCTGGATCTGGCCTGCGGGCCGTAGGTTGTCGACCCTTGATATAAATGGATGATTCTATTCATTTATGTCCTATATGACGCACCTCCAAATTGATTTGACAGCAGTTCCAGTAATCTTGAGATCATTTTTTTGGGAGACTTGTCACTTTTTGATGAAAGATGATTACCTCACTGATCCAGAGAGCAAAAAACAGTCAATGTAATAGCAAAACTTGGCTACTTTAGGTTTGAAGAAATTCAAGACCTAACTTGTGCCAATTAAAAGGGATTGCTGAAAGAAAAATGGTAAATGAAGCTTTGGAAAGATATCTTTTTTCCTAGGTCAATACCCCTGTGTATATAGCTGGCAAGATGATGGGATGTTGGGAGTTTGACTAAATAAACCTTCTATTCATTCTCCATCTGATTAGTTCCTGCTTTCTAATTTGAAAAGGTGTTTAAAAGTGAGAATTTTTGAAGTGAAACAAGGATTTCAATGACCAAACATCAGTAATTTTTCGGTTTTTTGTAAATGGTTAAAGAAACTTGAGAAATGTTCCAAGTGTGCTAAACTGTAGAGTAAATGTGTTGAATAATGTTTGAGTCATTCTCTTCATGATTAGGCTGTTAGATTTTCACCATTTTGTACGAGAGTGAGTCAAAAAGAATGAATGTGCTGAAATATTGTAATAACAACAAAAAACAATAAGTTCAATAATACAAACACCTTTTCAAACTACTCAAAATTATGAAAAGCATTAATGGCATTGTGAAGTAGGAACAAAAGCATTAATGGCATTGTGAGGTAGGAACAAAAGCATTAATGGCATTCTGAAGTAAGGATGAAAATTTCCAGCACCTTTTCTTGTGGTTCACTGATTTCACTTTGTTAAAGAAATTGACATGGATTGTTATTTAACACAAAGGGAAGTAAAATGATTTAACAAAATAATAACCAAAAACCTGAAGTAATACAAAAAACAAGATAGGCCAACCATGGTATTCAAGGTAACACCAAACAATCCACCAAGAAGATAATTTTAAATAGTCTACAGGATGTTAATAGACTGATCTCAAAAAGTAAATTATAGAGGACACTTTTTAGTCTTTCTCTCTCACACACACAAATTATACATATATATATAATGGATTAGAATCTGACAGAATGATAGGATAGAAAACATAAATTTATGATCATCTACTTTTATCTAAGCTTCATCAGAAATTGCTTTTTGAAATGAAATATGAAAGAGAAAGTTCTGATACTTTCAGTTTTGCATTGTTTGGTTTTCATTAGTTCTCACGTGTTTTAGTTTTGTGGTTTTAATGTTTATGTGTGTGTACGTTTGGATTCTAGTCAGAATTTTTGGGTCAGTCTGGTAGTATCTGTGTCTATAATTTCTAAAAATGGTAGTGAGAGTTGGCATGTGTGTGTGTGTGTTTTTATGTTTCATTTCTAGTTGATCTTGCAGGAGTTGGGTGATAATGTGTGTGCATGTGTTTCTTGTAGTGTCTATATGTAGATTAGGGGTTGTTTGGTGTGGGAGTGAATGAATTATGCTTCATCAGTTGCAGATATGTGGACCATAGATTCTTTAAGTATGGGTTTTATGAAAGTGTTTATTAGTATTTCTTCTAAATATTTTCTTCATAGTAAAGCATGTTCCTTTCCTATCAGGGTGGCATTTTTTACATCAAAATTATGGCCTGATTTATTTCTGTGTAACAAGAGAGTTCAGTCTGTTGTCCCAATGTAGGTCTCTCTTGTTCGTAGATTCAGGCATTTAGGATTCTGGAGGTTTCTCCTATATAAATTTTCTGGCATTGCAGGTAATTTAATATTATAAATCCTGGTATATGATGTGCAGTTGGTTTTATGTCTCTTGCTAACTAGATCTTTGATTGTCTTGGAGGTGGTGGTTATAAATCTAGTGCTAGGGATGGCTAGTTGATTCTCAAATTTTTTTGATAGAGTGTTGGAGGGCAGGATTATAAATTTTGTGTTTTTGTTGTTGGTGGGGTCTAACTTTTTCGACTTTGTGCACTCATTTGTTAATGTGTAAGATGAAGTGATGTGGTTAGTGAAGAAGTCTAAATGTGTTTTGTTATGTATTTCTCTTCTTTTGGTGTTCTGGGCAGCATATTCTAAGGGCTCTGACAGTCCTGACTTTATTTTTTGGTGGTGATTGGAACAGAAATTTATTAAATCATTTTTGTTTACGATTTTGTGGTAAAAATTTTAAAATCTAATTTGTTCTTGTTTTGTATTAATAAAATGAATTATATTTTTAAACTATTTACATCATTTGGACTGTTGTCGTAATCTTTATTGCCATATGATGTTTCAGCCATTGTACATTCCAACCTTCTTCAGGTGATATACAATGGAATTTCAAACTGAACCCTTTATTTAATCCATGGGGTATTAACTGATACTATGATATCCAAAAAAGGCATGGCACATGGAATTAGAACAATCTACCCCTGTGGATTAAATAAAGGGATCAGTTCAAAATTGTGTATATCACCTGAAGAAGGTCAGAGTGTACAATGGCCAAAATGTTGTGAATATGGCAATAAAGATGAGTCTGAATGGTGTAAATAGTTGCAACACTTCATCTCAGAAATATAGACAGATGTAGATGTTTTGAGTTTAACATCATAGATAACATTTTTTTGTATGTATTCATAAAATATACAATTTTATTTTATTTTAGTCAAAAACTGCAGAGATTCACTATGGAATTTCCAGAGATCCAGACAGTTAATAGTAAATGGGATAAAAGAATTTGTCTTACTTTCAAATTAGAAATCATGCTTTCCTCTTCAGGACTGAGTTCTAGTTTGTCTGTTGAATCATCCACTTTTCCAAATTTTGAGGCTTTAATCATTTTCCCACTGGCAAGTTGCAGTTGGTTGACATTCACCTGCAAAAAAAAGAACAAAAATAACATCACATGTCTCAGGTTTCAACTGTTTTACAACATATTAACCTTTACACTGACTGACTGATGGAACTTTTTTTTATTGCTACAGAACATGAGAAAATGTTCTCACACAAAGATTCAGTCAAAAATACACCACAATTAACAAATGCTACAAATACAACAGGAAGTATAGGAACACTTAAAGTTAACTACATCCACTAATTCACTGAAAAAAGATTGTACCATGATGAAAAAAAGGCCCCAAACTTAATAAAAACAAAGTTTTATTGTCAAAATATTTGTGTTATTAAGAGGAAAGACCAAAGTATTTTTTGATTATTTTACTAAATTTTTTAATCTTTTCTAGCATGTTCAAAATTTTGATTAAAAATCTTATTTTTCTTGCATCAGAAGGTGGGCCAAAGTATAGAAAATTTTAGTGTCTTTTTTGTGGTCAAAAAAACCCCACTGATTTGGAAATTATTGCAAAAATCAAATAATTGTTGGATTTTAATGAAATTTTCAAATGAATGAAATTATTTTTGAAAGTTTTTTTTTTTTACAAAATCATTAGAAAATAGAAAGCATTAAATAATCATTAATCTGTCAAACATGTCAACAGCTTAAATAAACAGCTTCTGCTGTATTAAAAATTGCATTTCTGCCATATTTTAATCTTAAAGAAAATATTTGTTTGAAAACAGATCAATTATACTTTAAATCAGCTAATATTCCTCAAATAAAGTTTCAGAAAAATATATTTTATTTGGAAGTATTTTTAATAAAGAGAATTACACTGCAATAAATGTGAGATAAAAAAAAAAAAAAAATTATTCCAGTCAATTTAAATTAGTTTTGAAATACAGCAAAGTATTTTGTTTATTAGAAATATTAAATTTAATCTATTAGCCTGAAATTATAACTAAAATAAAAGCTTCAAGAAAGATTTTTTCATTTTTAAAAAATCATTTTAAACCTTAGGTATTGTGAATTAGCAGAGATCAGTACTTTAATGTAAGAGAAAAAAATTAAATGAATAATATCAGAAGGGGTTAGAGTTTCTCATTTAGGTGATGCGGTTTTGTATGGAACAGAATGTTAAGTCTTTTAAAATGTCTTCAATATTTAAAAAAAAAAAACATTTTTTTTTACTCTGCCTAATTATGACTACATTATGTAAATGCAGATTAAAATTTTTGACTATTCAATATTGTTACAAAAGAAAAATAATGAAACTAAGGACTGTTGAATGGCTGACTAATATATTTTATACTAATAAGACTAATATATTATATACTAAATAACCAAATTACCCATGCCTTGCTGCGTGTAACACATATTTTTGTAAGAAAATGATGACTGATTTTAAATCATTGTTATAATTTGTGGAGAAAAATGATGCCTCAATATTACTCAATGATCTTGCAGATGTGACCTCCATCTTCTGCTTTCTCCTATATTTTGGATAAGAGTCATTCCTTTTTTCAAATTTAAATTTAATTTAAATGAAAGGAAAAAAAAAAAATTTCAGTTTGTAGTGTGGGGGACCCAAGGACTCCCTTTGATCAAAATGAAATATACTTATCCAAGTATCCAAGGTAATGTAGTTTCAATATATATATATATACTTATGGGGATCTATCTCCAAAATCCTAGGAAGAGTTCAATAACAACCCCCCCCCCCAAAAAAAAAAACAGACAGAGGCTACAACTTATATAGCTAATATATTATATAGTCAAATCCAAGGCCTTAGTATTTTCATTTTTAAAAGCTTTATTGGAGAGATATAATAAACAAAATCGCTAATGGATGATAAAATTGAAAAAATTCCTGTGTTAAGGGTTTGATCCTTTAAAGGAATTTCATTAAACTAATAATGGTTTTATTGATGCAGACTTTTTTTGATAGAGTGAATGTGTTGTTGAGACTGGTGGTCAGTTATACAGTCTCCAGCTTCATTTCATTTAAACTTTACTAAAGCCTTGGCAGGGATTGATTTCTTCACAAAGATCTTAAATGCCACACCCAAAGTTTAAAAAAAAATAAAAAAATAAAAAAAGAATAGGACATCTATTTCAAATACCAAGTATCCACTAATGTTTGAAGTAATAAAAAGGCTAGATTAAAATTCAACGACCATTGTTGTGCCTCTTACATTTTCTACACAAACCAGATATTGACCATTCTATGACCAAGACTGTAAATATGTTTTCTGTGCAGTGGCTCTATGCATACATCCCCTTTAACTGAAACAAAATAGTATATATATATATTATGACTAGTGAAAGGCACCTTAATTTCGAGCAGACTAAAAACTGTATATACCCAAATTCAAATAGACCCGACACAGACCAGTGTTTGATGTCAACTCCAATGCTTAGAGGGCCACCACCTACAACAACAATCACCACCAAATGTACATTTCACTTCTAATTTCACCACATTCTCTCCCTGTTGGCTTAGCTACAATAACAGATGCAAGCTACCAGTCTTGGTATATATGCAAATAAATTATACATTTATCTACCCCTACTCCATATCCTCTTTTGTCTGACACTTGGATTTATGTTTGCCAAGGTGGAGAAGGAATTAACTTCCACAACAGTAGCATCAACAACAAATTTCTGTCTTCCAGGTTACCCATTTCTAACCCTGCAACGTCAAATATATGGGGTGCGATGGATAAATTGTTGTCTAAATTATACAAAAATGAAAATAACACTATCATCTCATTTTAACAGATATATTTACCAAAATTACACAAAAATATCTTGAAATACTAAAGAGTAAATTTATCCAATAAAATTGTCATCGGTTTCAACCATGGCTTTTGGACAACTTTGGAATCTCTTGCAAGTCTTCTGGACATTGTTGCTATTTAAATTGGGAAATGCTGCCATAATCCTTGCCTTCAGTTCATCTTTGGTATTCTAAGGAGTTTTGTTGTACACTTGCTCAACTATGTCCCACACATAATAATCAAGAAGGTTGCAGTCTAGTGAGTTAGGTGACCAGATGTAAGGGGTTATGTGGTCACAGAAATTGTCTGACAGCCATGACTGGGTTTTACTGCTTCTATGGTATGGTGCAGAGTCCTTGTTGCCAGACATAGGCTCTTCCAGCAGCCAACCCTCTTGACCCAGGGCAGCATTAACACCTCAAGGCACTTGATGTAGGCCTCCATATTGAGTCTGAGGCCCTGTGAGAAGATGAATGGAGGCATAACATCTCTATTATTAGTGATCCAAACACCTTTCTACTCACCATTAGTCTCCTCCAACTCTTTGCAAATCCTCTGCATTGTTCTCAGATTAACATCCAAACACTGTGAAATGTTTCTATTGGAGCTTCTGGCATGAATGCCAAGAAGTATAGCATGCCATTTCCAAATTTCTGGCAGAGTGAATTGTGTCATGTTGTTCCTTTTCTCACAGACAATGACCAACTAATCCTAGTATATTGTGCAGTCAAAACAAAAAAAAACAAAACAATGCACATGTGTGAACTTAAAAAATATAAAATAGTGACAATTTACTCATCACACACTGCACTTGTGGATAACTTACTTCATGTACAGGGCAACCCCAGAATTTTCTTTTGCAAAAAACCTGATTTTTTCCTATAGCTTGTGTATATGAAACTCATTTTCTGAGCAATACTAGTTGGCCTACTGTAGTCAAATATTGCAGTTATGGGCATCATCCTGGACATAATTTATAGCAATTAAATATTCTTTCTCCTTTTTTTGCTCATAGCTAACCCAAAATGGCAAGAAAAACCACTTACTGTAAAATATCTGATATGAAGTTTTTGTTCAAGCCTGTAGGTTATGGTCACTGAAGATGCAAAATATTTTAACCTATTCAGAAAAAATTCACCTGTGTATAGTGCAGCTGTTCATTGAAAATGCATGATTTTTTAATCTTTTTAAAAACAAATTCCATGGGTATAGTGCAACCACCTATAAAAAATAGGGGGTCACACTATACCCATTAAAAACTGAGCATAAAAAAATATGTATTTTAAGTCAGAATTTTGGCATTCATGTCAACACTTAAATGAAGATGCTAAAAATGCTAACAAGAATGCCAAAAGGCTGAGTTAAAATTCATTTTTGAAAAATAAAAATTCATACTTTTTTAATAAGCATATTCAATGAACAGTTACCACAAAAAGGTCTTCTACAAACCCTAATTGTGGCAAACAATTAACCCCAAACTACTTGACCTCTTCAGTAATATAAAACATGCATAAAAAAAAAAAAAAAATCCTACTTTTTTTATTTCCCCATTTCAGTAAGAAAGGACAAAGGCATGCCTGACAATCCTGGTTTTTAACATCTTTTCTCATCATGCTTCTATTTGGTCAAAAGGCTGACTAATATAAAATAAATATTATTATCAATATTATTATTTTTGTTGTTTTTTTTTATTGAATTCCTTTCATCAGCCTACAATATATATATATATATATATATATAATAAAAAGGCTTAAACACTAATATTCCATTGTCATAATTTATTCCATTGGAATCGTAAATACAATCTAATTCATCAGACCTACAAATTCAAAAAGAAAACAGAAAAAAAAACCCACTCCAGAAATAAACAGAATTTAGAGAGAGAGTGTAAGTATGAGGAGGAGGGAGATTAAACCTTAACAGAGAGAATTTTAGGAGAGGTGGGTTGAAGGGGTTTAATTAAGAGAAAAAAATGAATGTTGACGGATGTCTAATGCATAAAGATACATTTCGTAGTGACATACACACACCATAGACAATCTAATGTTAGAATAAGAGGGAGGGAAAGACGAGGTGGGGGGGTAGGAAAGTAAAATTGCGTTTACTTAAAGGGCTGCTTTGTAATTGAGAAAATTTGACAAATTTAATATTGACTACAGGTTACAAATCAAATATAAATATATGAAGATAAATATAACGATTATCTAATCCAGCAAGGACCTATATTTCTTTGTTCAAAAACACATGTGAATACACACAATAACCTATACATGTATATGCATACACATAGGCATGTACCCACATACATATACCCATGTACACACATATAAAAATGGATTCTTCCTCTTGGAATTTTTTTTCCTAAAAATATACATGTATGGGTATTTATATATTTTGCATATGTATGTATATTTTCCACTAATATTATATATATATATATATATATATATATATAGTACAGGTAATAAATCCATTGGTATATAATCCAAGTAGATCCTAGTAATATAAAATATTAAAACTGATCCACAAAAAGAGCTCAATGTATTTATTATACAGAGCCAATTACATAATAAAGTCCCAAATTATCTCATATGGGGGAGGGGTAGATCTATTTCAACCAATGAAAACTTTGTCAGTCTTATTTAACCCCAGTCTACATTGGGACTGAATAAGACTGATAAAGTTTTCATTGATTAAAATATATGTATCCACCCCCATATGACGTAATTTTGTATTTTGTTGTGTAATATTATATATATATAAAGACTGTTAATAATACTGTTGTGTCATGAAATCCTTTTGAAGTACATAACAAAGGATATGTTTTTTTTTCATTTTGTCATTAAATTATTCAAATACTTTATGTGGCTTTAAAACCTATCTTTGATAAGTAGTTTTCCATGAATTTCAGGTTTTACAAATAGGTCAAGTTGAAGATAATGTCTAATCAGATAACAGCAAATGTTGGATGTCAATGTATTTGGTTAATGAATTTTCAACTTTTGGAACAACTTGGCAACGTTATCAGTTTTGACCCAGCATCTTGGTTTCAGTCACCTCCCCACCCACCTTAACGTGGCTTTCCTGTAATTTTTCTATAAATATTTTCACAGCAATTGTTCTAATGAGTCTTTCTCTTTGACTTCACAAATTTAAGCGCTGTACTGCATTGACAGACAGGTCTCATCATTTCATTGCTGAAATTGCTATAGTTAGAACCATGAGTTTTATGCTAATTGTTTTTTATTCTTGCACTCCTCAGTGATGGAACTCTCTCCCACCTTTCCTGCCAATTACGATCTTCAAAAATTTAAATGCAATGTCAATTGTTATCATTTGGAATCCTGGTCGTTTTGTTTACTTTGTTTCTTTAACTCTTAGTAATCTCTTGTCTTAGTGGCTTTATTGCTTTGCTTGGGATATTTATAAATGTGGCCATTCCACAGTAAGACAAATTATTTTCAGGAGGCACATGGAACCATTATTGCCACTAGGTTTTGTTTCTGCTTTACGGCTATTTAACAACCATAAGGTTTTGAATCGTTGTTTTGAGTACAGCTTGAGATTATATGTGTATCAGTGATAGTTTTAGGCACAAGTCAGGTGAGAAGAGAAAAACAGAGAGAAGAGAAAAACAGAGAGAAGAGAAAAACATCTGTCTTGCTGAATCTTTTTTACTGGCTTTTCCTTTTCTTTCACTCTCAGTAACTGTTTGCATCTTAGTGGATTTATTGCCATACTTGGGATGAAATGATAAAAAGAAAAAGTATCTTCAGTGACATTCAGCAAATGTTAAAAACTAATCTAGAAGAAAATGTTTTCTATATGATTTACTGTCAGACTAATATCTTCATTCTTCTTGTTATTATCACAGTATTATGTCCTCTGAACTTCTTCAGGGGTCTCTCTATCCGTGTAGTGTTCAGGAAATTTCAAACTGAACCCTTTATTTAATCTACAAGGGTTGGTTATTCTTTTCCACTGTGCATGTCTAACAGAGATTTTTGATTTTTTAGTACTGTTCATTTATTGTTAATTCTAACCCATCCCAGAAATTCATGCAAAAAGCATTTTCTGACTTTCGTGTTTTTCATATTGTTACCAGTTCAAAGAGTGGTTGACTAAGGAAAGAACAAAGTCCACATAAAACTGAGTTTGCATTGTCATTTTAATATGGGCTATCTACATATATGCATGTAGGCTAGAGCAAAAAATTGTCCAATCCCTGTAACCAGCATCATGCATAAATCAAAATATGGTGGATCTACCCACTTTTGTTCAGGGAGGAGGTGCTGGACCAAGGTTGGAATCCCCAGGAAACAGCTTGCCTTGTGTTTTGACATCTCAAAACAGAATCTGAGGAGAGGAGCAGAATTAACACTAATCTTACCCTAAAGACCAGCAAGTGAAATAGTGATTCATTCAAAATTGAAAATCTACTTTGACATTTCAAAAGTTGTAAAGAATCCACATTACTCAAAAAGTAAGAACTTACCATTTTACCATCATTTCCAAAAATGACCATTCCATTTTTATGCACAATGGCAGGTTGTGAAGCACCTTCAATTGGAATGCTAGTTCCTCTGGGAGGAAGTCTGTCCCACATTTTGGATCCACTGAATGTGACTTGCTGAAATTTGAAGTACAAAGGTGTTTATTAAAATGATTTAAAAAGTTAACATTTAACACTGTGGATATCACTTGTAGTTTATTTTATTTTTACAAAAAATATATTTTTGAAATATTGTAATCACTTTAAAAGGGGTAGTTTACAATGTTTATTGGTGAAGAAAATGAAGGGAAATTCTGGCTAGGGTTGTTTGTAGTCCCATTTTTGCACTAATGGCCTTGGAAAAGGCATTAATTCATCTCTCCTGTTAATAGTTACAGGTGAAATTGTAGGGCAGACTGGGCCCTTTAGCTTTGGTAGGGCAAATAGTTTAGGAGAAGGAAAAACAGAATTCAAAATTAACGTGCAGCTATAGTACACAGATTGTCCCAATGATGCTACAATGCTCATAGTAGTAGCAACTGTTTCCCTACAAGGAAACATTTGGCATCCATTAACTGAGCAAAATGTTTTTGGTTGAAATTTATAAAATCTTTCTCTTAAAACAATTTTGCAGCAAAATAGGTTTCTCAAGTCCAGTAATTGTTATTGCTCTTTCCAGTATTGATAGGAGTTTCCTTCCTAACTTTTTGTTTGAATTTGTGTGGAATGTACACGATTTAACAAAGGAATCTCTTTAGAATACCAGAATCAAGATATCCTAAGTTTTATTCATAGAAGCAAGGAAAAAAAACTGATTAAAAAAATACACATCTTTAAAAATATGTCAGATTTTTTTATAGCCTAAATCAAACCAAAGCCTTGTACATGACATTCTGGGACAATGAAAATGATTAAGTGATTCTGGTCAGTTGATAAGGATTGCAAAAAGATCAGAGAAAAAAAAACACTTAAAACTTTAATTATTTTAAATTACTGTTCTCATCTTGGTTGTTAAAGATGTTCTTATAGACAACGTTTCAGCCAAGTACATTCTGACCATCATCAGGTATCCAATTGTTTGGTTGTTATTGTCATATATTTGTCCCTGTGATGCCACTTATTGTTCGTTACTACTGAACAAGTGTTTCACTACCTGAATCAGGGATTGAACTCATCACCACAAGATCACAGTAACATATGCTTAACCGACTCATGTATCTACGATGTCAGCATGGTACATTTTTGATGCCTTTATTTTAAACTTTTCTCTAAAGTATATATGAAGACATTTGTTTTGGCTTACCTATAATATACATCATACAGCAACACTATTATTAAACACATAATATAATTTGTATCTATGAATCTTGAGTGTGTATAATTCTTCCTAAATTTTCCACCCATTCAAAATTTATGATTCTAATAGAATTAAAAATATATTTCTGTCATTCAGTAACAATGAATCTCAATAACAAAATCTTTGAACTAAGAATATAGATTAACTTTAAACTAAGAATATATTTTCTACAACCAGAAGTTAACTACTTACAATTTTACAAGTTAAATAGAACTGCCAGATAGAAAAGTTTAAATAATAATATTGAGCTGAGAAACAAAAGAAAAACAAACAATTTTCTTTTGTAAAATTTTTAACAATTAAGGATTATGATTTTTGTTTCAAACTAGTAAACTGCATTTTTGCCATATAGTTTACATATGTTTAATTGCGACATGGATTTAAAATCAAAGCCAAAAAAATAACTTTTAATGATTTTCTAATAATTTTCCTGCTTGTTTTGGGCCTATGCTCAAATCAGGCTGAAAACACTGATTCTTTTCAATCATCAGAGTTAAATAACATCAACCCTGGTAAGTACTTGGATGAGTGATTACTTAGGAACACTGTGTACTGCAAGTGACCCTCTACAATCTGAAATATGTTTCAGTTTTAGATAATCTACAAAGGGTTGATAAGCTGTAAAAAAACAACAAACAAAAAAAAAAAACAACAAACAAAAAAAAAAACAACAAACAAAAAAAAAACAACAAACAAAAAAAAACAACAAACAAAAAAAAAAAAACAACAAACAAAAAAAAAACAACAAACAAAAAAAAAACAACAAACAAAAAAACAAATCAATCAAAATCTGTTTTGAAGGAAATCATTTTTTTATTGAAAAAAGCTTAAAGGGGAGGAAAAATAAAAAAACCCAGACAAAACCTCCTTTGAGTTTGCCTATCTATAAGCCAGTACTTAGCAAAACAATCAATTTAGCTGTATTGAAAGATAACCAAAGTCATTCAGTATAAAAACTCCCCCTTTTAAAATCTTGTACATGAACTATCCTATTCTCTTAAAATAAGTACGTACAAATACCTTTTTTTAATCTTAATCTACTTCCAAACAAAACTGTCTAATTTTCATAAGTAAACATGATTTAAGAGCTTTCTTCACTGATATCATCAAATCACGATTCACAGAGGTCATAAGGTAAAAGTTTACTGGAGGTTTAATGTATCTGACAAACATTAATTTTGATTTTCAGTTAAATTCGGACAGCATTGAAAGCTGATGTAATAATTCTAAAGCATTTTTGCTATATTCAGCTATACATGTAGCTATATAACACATGTAGCTATGCAACACATGTAGCTACATTATATAATAAGATGTTTAAGTTGGTTAATTTAATGACCTAACAACTCTTGTTGGTTTATTTAATATTGAATATAAATCTTGGATTAAATAATAAGGTAGACTGGTATGTCTAACCATGGTTGGCAACTAGCATAGGAGAAGGACAATGAAGCTGTACAAAGATGTTTACATTTGATTGATTTTACATGGCTTATCAACCCTTTGCTGGTTATTTAAAGCCAGAAAATTTTTTTCATTGTAAGATTGGAGATACTGATTTACTGTTACTAATTAACCCATAGGTGGGGGAGAAGAGGTGGAATTATACCTTTGCAAAGGGTATTTTTGCATAAGAGAATATAACGAATCCAACTGGAATTGAAACTCAGCTCTCTGATTAACAATTCTGAGCCATTATCTATTACACTATCTATGCATCCAAGCTTACAACATTTGGTATTCCCAAGTGGTCACGCATCTAGGTACTGACCAGGTCTGACGTTAATTAACTTTAGTAATCGTACAGGAATCAATGTTTCAATGTGATGTGGCTGTAAGCCCAAAGATTGTTAGACATGGGGTGCAGATGCTATATCTGTAAAACAAAAACACAATGGATATCAACAATTATGGATAATCCAACTTGAGAAGCATTATCCAGGATGTTGACATCAATGGGCATTGGATCCAGGAAAGGTTGTTGGGTGGTTAGATGGAGATATTAATATATGGGTTTTGGGTTAAACAGCAGGGCAAACTGAACTCTCTAGCCATGGTTGGCAACCAGTCTAGGAGACAGATTTGAATTAAAAATCCATCCACCTGAATCTGTACAAAGATGGTTAGATATGAAGTGCATATACTCTGTTTCTAAGTTAAAGCAACAATAGATTTCAACAACTATGGATAATCTCATGAGGGAAGGATTATCCAGAATGTTGTTGACATCAATGGGTATTGGGTCCAGGGAAAGTTGTTGTGTGGTTAGATGAAGATGATAATATATGGGTTTTGGGTTAAACAGCAGGGCAAACTGAACTCTCTAGCCATGGTTGGCAACCAGTCTAGGAGAAAGACAGCTTTGAATTAAAAATCCAATCACCTGAACCTGTACCATATTTGGAACATTTGCTGTAAACATTTTTGCCACAGGAAAACTCGCCTCAGGAATTGCCATATAGGATTTTTGCCGTAAGACAAATTTGCCATATTTTTTTTTTTTGATATTCTTATCTTGACCGTCCCTTTTGGAGTAATCTTCAATTTAATATGCAAAGTACCTTGTAATCAAGTAAATATGAATGTCTTTTTTAAACATCAGAAAAGAAATTAAGAAGTAAACATTTAAAAAATAAGACTATAAAAATATATCAAATTAATAAAGAAATAATTTAAAATGTATGCAAATTCCAAGCAATGCTTTGTAAATAATATTTTTTTGTATTGGACTGTAATGAAGCATTTTTCGCTGAAGTCATGCATTGATATCTATATATATATATATATATATATATATATTTTCTTCATTTGTACTTCATCTCCTCCATCTAAATCACACTTTTCTTTTTGCTAATGTCTCTTATTTTTTTCAAATACATAATTAATTTCCAGAAATTTGGGTGCATGTTAGTATAATTTTACTTATTTAAATGTTTAAATCGAAGTAAAAATTGTGTGAGCCAGATATACTTAATAACAAGGTACTTCACATATTAAAAAAAAAAAAAAAAAAAAAAAAAAAAAAAAAATAGTAAATGGCAAAATTCCTATACAGCAAAGTTTTCCGGGGCAAAAATTCCTGAGGTGAGTTTTCCTACAACAAAAATGTTTACAGTAAATGTTCTTAGAACCAATCTGCACAAAGATGGTTAGATATGGAGTGCATATAATGTCTCTAAGACAAAGTGATAATAAATTTCAACAACTATGGGTAATCCCACTGTAGAAGGATTATCCTGATGTTGTTGGCATTGGAAGGTGGATGGACAAGTCTTACAGGACAAAAATCATATATAATATATAGACACAGGTTCGATTTACACTAGAGTTCAAAGAGGTAGACACAGTAAGTTTTATATCTAAATCTTGAAGTCTCCACCTGAAAAGTTGGATCTATTTTGGGGGTTAGGTCTTCTGGGAGGATTATGTGCCTGTGCAGTCATGCTAATAGGGCATTACATAGAATAAGAACATTGCAGAAATTTGTTACCATTAGGAAATGTAAATTGCTTGAATTACATCTATGATACCACTGTTCTCTCAATAATGCTTGCCTGCCTAAATTCCTGACCAGCAACAATACCCTTTTCTTAAATTTTCCATGCAAAAATGTGATGAAATTTGCTAAAAGAATTTTAGATTAAAAATGGAAAATTTGACATTTAATCTTCCAATAGTTTTCAATACCACCAGAAAATATTTTATTAAAAATAAAATAAAAAAGATCAAGGTGAGAAGTATTAGAGTATTGGTAAAGACAGTAGACATTAAAATAATATTAATTTTGCTTTTCAAATACAGTTGGTGCTAAAATGCAACTATTACAAGTATTTCTTAATTTATTTTGCCTGCTGTTACAATTTGCCATGTCAGTTGTCTACATTCAATGGTTTGAGTGAAGAACAATTGTAACATATTTAATATTGTTTAATAAATCAATCCTTAAATAAACAGTTTTTTTAAAATTTCTTAGGATGATAAAACTGAATTTTATTTACAGAAAAATAAACATTAAAGTATGGCAAATTTTACTGGTGTAGATTTATTAAAAATTAATTCTTTGATAAAAACTTTATTATAGAAATTGTTCTACAAAAGTTTATATAATCAGTTTGCAATTATCTTGAAATTATTAATTTTCTTACCTGTCCATCAATCATGGTCCATGCTCCAGGAACTTTATCATTTCCACGAATAAAATTGTGGATGTCTTTAGCTGGTATGTTCCAATTCATCTGAAATTGGTACAAAAAATCTATAATACATATGTTTTTATTGACATAAAGTGCCATACCCTATTCTAAAGACATTTCTCTTAAAACATACAGGTTGCTTTACTGGTAAAATTTGCTACTCATGGATCCATTAATGTTTGACATGAATAATGATATAAACCATTTAATGACAAACATTCAATGAGATTGGAATATACTTTCAAACACAACTGTTAATTCTGTAACTGAGGTAGTTTTACCAGAATTAGGAATTTGTAAAATCAAGAGTTTAAGCAGTAAAGCCAATAAACAGAAAAGAAATCTTTCTCATTGGAAATGGTACCATTGAAAAAGACTTGTTGTATTTAGGATAATATTGTTTGTTGATCAAGCAGGTTTTCAACTGATCAATAAGCTTTTATTTACAACAGTACAGGTTGCGATGGATAAATTGTCGTGTAAATGATGCCAAAAAGAAAATAACACCGACATCTCATTTTAACAGAACTACGGGGTGCGATGGATAAATTGTCGTCTAGATTACTCAAAAATGAAAATAACACCAACATCTCATTTTAACAAATATATTTACCAAAACTACACAAAATATCTTGAAATACGAAAGAGTAAATTTATTCAATAAAATCATCATTGGCTTCAACCACGGCTTCCAGATTCTGAAATCTCCTGCAACTCTTCTGGACGATCTCCTTGTTTAAATTGGTGAATGCTGCTATAATCCTTACCGACAGTTCATCTCTAGTGTTACAAGGAGTTTTGTTCATCTCTAGTGTTACAAGGAGTTTTATTTTTTGTTTTGTTGGTCTCTTGCTCAGCTGCACCCCACACATAATAATCAAGGAGGTTGCAGTCTGGGGAATTAGGTGGCCAGATGTAAGGGGTTATGTGGTTGCAGAAATTGCCTGACAGCCATCACTGGGTTTTACTGCTTGTCAGAGTCCTGTTGCTGGACATAAAGTCTTCCAGCAGCCACCTCTTGACCCAGGACAGCACTACCTCAAGGCACGATATAGGCTTCCATGTTGATTCTGAGGCCCTGTGTGAAGATTAATAGAGGCATCACGTCGTGATCACTCCAAACACCTTCATAATCACCAATTGTTCAACTCTTTCCGAACCCTATGCATTCTCCAAATATTGACACCCAAACACTCTGAAATGTTTGTATTGGAGCTTCTGGTGTGAATGCCAAGCAATACAGCATGCCATTTCCAAATTTCTGGCAGAGTGAATTGCGTCATGGTGTTCTTTTTCTCAAAGATGGTGCCCAATTGATCCTACTCTACTGTGCAGTCAACAAAATCAAAAACAAACAATGTGTATGCACAAAATAGAAAATATAAAATGGCGACAATTTACCCATCGCACCCTGCAAATACAATTTTAAATTTTCACTGTATAATACTATCCTTTAACTTTACAACAACTTGATCAGGCCAAAAATGGAGTACTGCTGCCATATATGGGCAGGAACTGCCCAGTCTTTACAGAATCCAAAAAGTGCATCCGTGTCCTTGTGGGTGATGAATTATCTCCCCCCTATGACCCATTTCCAATTGATAAAATGTCACAAGCCCCTCGCTGCTCTATCACTGCTTTCATGGAAAGTGCTCAGATGAACTAGATTCCATAGTTCCATGAATTCCAACTCTCACGGCTAAGACCTGCTATGTTACTCACATTGTAACAAACCACCCTCATTTCATTTGTATTCCATTGGTGAGATGTAAGTTTCACTTGAGTAACTTCTTCTCACGAACCACTGCTTTGTGGAACCAACTCCTAGGAGGATTCTACCCCAATAACTAGAATCTTAACCTGTTCAAGTCTAGGGTCAACTGTTAACTTCCCTACTTCTAACTCAAGTGACTCTTGGGCCTTGTACATGGTGAACATTATTATAAAAAATAACAATGTTTGATGTATTTGATTAATATTTATCAGAGAATTAAGTGCATTGACAAGGAACAAGATTAATGTTGAAAATTTTTTTTTTCACATTTACTCTACAAACTTGAGGAGGCAAAGTAATAATTTTTTCTGTATTAAAATATAGGAATTATTTGGTTCTGTTTGTAAATTGCAAAGATGACGCATGGAATTTTCCATTTCTCTCAGCAATTATAAATGCGATGAGTTCTATAAACTGACTGTCAATGACTGATTTTAATCAAACATGATTGCTCTATCAATCAGCAGCATTTTTTAAAATGATAGCTAATGGCTTTTTTTTTGGCCAAATGTTATTCCAACACAAGGTTTGTCATTGTATTCATGTGTAAATGACACTTATATCACAGTTTTTTTTTAAACTAAAGTTCACGCAAGACAAGGCTCAAGAGCCACTCAAGGTAAAGGGTTACTGTTAAAATGATTATGATGAATGCGGTGTGTGATATGAATGAAAGAATAGGTACAAATAAATGAAGGTTATGAAAATAAAGTTGTGAGCTTATAAGATAAGGAGGACGGATTGACCCTTGACCTGAAGTTAAGTTTGTTGTGTTCAGGGAAATATCCCTGCAGGAGTCAGTACAACAGAGTAGCACTGGAAAAAAATGTTGTGAGTCAAATTTTCTTCTTAGATTTGGAATTATGTATATGTATGGCTGGGTGTTTGCATCAGAGTATACCTGTATGTTGGGGTGGGGGTAAATAACTCCTGTTTCAGATGCCTGATCAGGTAAATCTTGTGTTTCTATAACACGCAGAGAGTCTACCAACTTCATAGACTTTAGTTACAATTTCTGGAAGAGAGTGCATAATCTGGCATGATCAACAGTTTGAACAAAGGCAGTGCACTCAAACCCTCAGTCACGATGACTTGTGACTTCTTTCATTTGGAATTATAACCACATTCAAATGTATACGGTTGTATAATTTTGTTTTGAAACCTCTGTAGTCTATCATGAAGCTAGAGAAATTCAGAAGAAATGGTTAAGTTCTAATTTGTTTCTTTTGAGCTTCATGAGCAATCGTTCGTTTTCCGAGCCAAAGGTCAGTTTTCATTATGCCTTTGTCATTCAAGTAATAGGGGATTGTAACAAAGAACTTATAAGTTTGTTCAAAATTACTTGAAAAGCAATCAAGTAAATGGGGAAAAAGATTAAAATTCATTTGGTAATAATTTATAAATACACAAATTTAAAATTGTATATTTGAAAACATACAAGACCCCCCCTCCCCCATTTACATTTAATATTACAGTATTATAGAGTTTGGCTTGGTACAAGTACTGGTAGTTTATGTCATCTGGGAAAGTCTACTAAGCACCTCAAGTTTGCATCTAAAACTCGGATGTTTTTTTTATGGAATTGTATTTATATGCCATCAAAAATGGTTATTTTAGACAATGAAGAACTCAAAGAATGACAAAATGTAAGAAATCAAAACTTATTGGTAAGACTTACTTGAACTAAAGATTTTTTTAACAATGCTTCATAACTGGCACCTTCTTCTGGTTGGACAATTTTGGGAGCCTGGTTCTCAGAAATCAAACGCACAGCATATTCCTAAAGATAAAAAGAGAACTGTAGAAACTAATAGAATTGTAGGTATATATATATATATATATATATATATATATATATATATATATATATATATATATATATATATTGCTGTAAAGACATTAAGCTGAATATTACTTGGCATAATTAAAAAACTGATGGTAAAAAAAAAAAAAAAAAAAAAAATGAAAATGAAAGAGGAAAACAACCGATTACGCTCCTGCACTTCAAAGTTTTTAATTGGGAGAAGAGTAAAATACAATAAATCTAAATTATCAAATGATTGATTAGAGGATAAAGAAAGGGACAAAAAAAATAAAGAGGTGGGGGTACTAGAGACTAATGATAGCAAGCCCCAGCAAACTATCATGCTGTTTACAGAGAGAAAGTCTGCGAGACTTGATATACAGTGACTAGTAATTTAAGATGAAATGAAGAGTGTGACTTGGACAAAACAGTAAACCAATCAATACTGAATTCAGCTGCACACTTACTGTTCTTTAAAAGATGCTCACAAGTTGAGGATCCATAGGTATTTGGGATTAGTTCATTTGAAACTAAGGTGTGATTCCTGATCTTACCTGGCAGTTGTTGTTTTATCCTTGCATCTAGTCACTGGATAGTCCTCCCCATGTAGCTGACTCCACAACTACAATTGTATTTATATACAACAGAATTCACTTGATGAGGGGGGGAACACATCCTTATCGATAGAAGAGAGTATATATATATATATATATATATATATATATAATTATTTATTTAAAAATATGATTCCAACTCGTGACATAAGGTCTCATGTTTCAAAATGAGCCGAAAACTTCAATATAATTATTCGAATTAAATTGAGTTAAAGTAAGCTCTGTTCCATCTTCAAGCGAAATTTTTTTTGGAATAACGTATTTCTGAAATGTACGTGTTTTAATAATTGAAATCAAAGTTTCCATGGTAACAGCTAGGGCAAATTGTTTCAATTGGGTAGGCGTGTGTTGGGTGTTAATAATAAGTATCAGTATAGAGTTACTTTCATAGATGTCAAGTCAGGGAAAGGTGGGGGTGTCTAAATTAGAAACAGAAGATGTTTTAGCCTAGTCTGGTTTACGGGTCTATCAAAAAGTGACAAGACTTCTAAAAAATTATCTCAAGGTCACTGGAACTGCTGCCAAATCAATTTGGAGGTGTATCATTATAGGACATAAATGAAAGGAATCATCTGTTTATGTAAATAAACAGAGTTAAGTGAAGTTGAAGAGAGTTAGCATTAGGTCAATTGCTAAGTGTACCTTGCATGTAGTAAACCTTCTGTTTCATTACTTACCTACAAGTTTGTCTTCCTTATTTATTTCTCTCTTGAAAACATGAAATACAACAGGGTACCAACTCAATATCATTTCTGGTTGGCATTCAAACATTTTGGCATTCACTTGGCTGACACTTTCTGCCATAGCCAATTGTCTAATGGATTCTCTGAGTATCTCAAGTGTCTTGGAAATTCTTTTAGCCAAGATATGTCTATCAGCCAACATTAGGAGATGATACCTATGATAAGGCTTCCCAAATTGTGCTATATCTTGGGTCTTAATATCTCCATGCTGGGAATTTGGCATACAATTTCTTTACAGTTGAATATGACAGATATTTGTCATCCATTGTTTGCATTAGACATTCATGGATTTCCTTTTTGCAGGAACAGGAACTTCATGTAGTCCAGAGTTCAATATATATATATATATATATATATATATATATATATATATATATATATATATATATATATATATATATACACACATTATAAATTAACCGATTTAAAATATGGTTTTAAATCAGTATTTATGCTCTGTAAATTTACATTGAGCACTGTTTTGTAAAAATAAAAATATCAATAAGAACAACAGATTATATATCTTACTGTTCTTTCTTTTTATTATAATTATATATATATATATATATATATATATATATGCATTATTTACATTATTCGGACTATTGCCCTCATCTTTGTCGGCATATTTATTACAATGTTTTGGTAGTTGTATGCTCCGGCCTTGTTCAGATGGTTGGAATGTTGAATTGAACCCTTAACTGGGTATTGAACTCGCACTCTTTGGGTCCTGTCACTGGATTTAACTAATGCCTTTATCCTCTGTGGGCAGAGGAGAACTTTCAGAGGGAAATTAACAGGAGATAACTGATAACTGACATCCATTAAACATGGCATGTCGAACTAGAACAGTCTACCCCAGTGAGCGAAATAAAGGGTTCAGTTTGACATTCCAAACACCTGAAGAAGGTCAGAGCATACAACAGCCAAAACTTGTGTGATGGTTTCCATCGGTTTAAGCAGCTCATAATAAACTACACCCAGCTGATCCCACCAAATGCAGTGCAGAAGCTTTAAACCATGGATATTTGCCTTTGCCCACTGATGTTGATGAATGGCCAGGCTTACCGCACGATCTTCTATGCTTATGGTTATCATAGTGTATTCACTTTTCAGTGCCAGTCTGTCTGATGCAAAAACCTTCCCTTTTCTGCCATTGAAGCAGTTGTTCACATGTGACAAGATGCTGTTCGACGTCTCTTGGCTTCAACTCATACTGCACCCAATGTCCTTGCTTTTGAATCATTCCTAATACTTTGAAACATTTCAAAACTGTTGTGTGATCAAACTCCTAATGATTCTGCAAGTTCAGCTTATGCCTGACATGAGTCTTCATGAAGTAATGCCTCCAATTCTTCATCTTCAAATTTTTCGGTGTGCCAGAGTGTTGTTTATCTTCAACATCAAAATCATTATTTAACCAATCTCTGCATGTTGTTTCTGACAGAGCATGGTCACCATAAGTCTCAACAAGAATTCTGTGTGCTTCAGCTGCAGATTTCTTTTGGATAAAGTAGTGCAGTAAAATTCCCCACAAATACACTTTCTTTGGCATGAAATCTGACATGTTTAACGGTATGAAAAACAAAGAGAAAAAAAAAAAAATTCTGGATTGATGTATATGAATAAAGATAAAAGGAAAATATATCTTAGTTGACATGTTTCATGCTCAGATGGACTTTGTCAAGTCAAATGTAAGGGTTCTATTTTGCAACAAGATTTTATAAACAAAATTAAAAATGTTTTTAGTTTTTCAGAATTTTTAAATTTAAGGATGTTCATAAGTATGCTTCAGATTAACTGCAAGCCAAAGTAAACTATGGAAGATGAACAAGTGATATAATAATAAACAGAAGTGAAAAAATGTTGAATTTCTTTTATAATATATATATATATATATATATATATATATATATATATATAATTATTTATGTAAAAAAAAACAATTTATAACATAAATATGTTATAAAATCACTACAAAAATAGCCATTTTGTTTCAACACCCCTGGTGTCTTATTAAGTGATGATGTTGAATGTAAAATAAATGGTTTTAAAAGTTTCAAATTAATTAACAATCCTTCACAATTGGAAAACGTTGTTACAAAATCTAGATTGACCAATCAAAATACAAGTATAGGAAAATTCAAAAAGCTTGACAACGAAGTCATGTTATAATAGCTATTCAGATCTTTAAAATATGGGTAATATTAAAAAAGAATTTATTCTAACCAATAATTACTAAATTATATGATAAAATTTAATATTAAAATTAAAACCACCAATTTCAAAATCCAAATTTAATCGCTATTAAGTTTACAACCATAAAATTACTGAAGAAATACATATGTTATTCAATTTATTTCTTCATTGAAATTATGTTAGTTGTTAATGTTATATCCGGTCCTCTGACAATATATATGTATACATTTTAATCCCAAGTGTGTGAATGGGGTCCTAACCTCATCATTAAAACACAACACAAACACGATCAGATTATAACACCCATATACATTATTTATTTATATATATATATATATATATATATATATATATATATATACACACACACACACACAAAAAGTGATGAGACAAAGGAACATCTACCACAGCTTAAACCGCCAGAGTCTCGTCAGGTCGTTTGTTCAACGAGACCTTGGTGGTTGAAACTGCGGTAATGTACCACTCAAGCGTTCTTATCTTTTTAATATATATATATATATATATATATATATATATAATTTATAATATAGCAATTGTTAATATTTTAAAATATTATTACTGTTAAAAAGGCAAATAAAGCTTTATAATTCAATTTTCCTGCATTAGATTCAAATTGTTTCATTAACAAAGTAAAAAAAAAAAAAAAAAGGTAAGCTTTTGTACATTTGTATTGGAATTCTGTTAGAGACCAAATCCTAAAATGTGATAATTGTCAATAACAATCAACATTTCTATTTCCTTTCTTCTGGTATTAAAAAAGAAGAATGGTAAAAAATCTTTCAGCCAAGCAACAATTAATGGTAATGGAACAAACCATAGCTTTGATTCCTTCTGGGAAAAGGAATCGGTTATAGAGCGTTTCCACAGTGTCATCCTTGGAGACATAGGTGTGCCTCTGCAGGAGAATTGGGCCAGTGTCAAGTCCCTCATCTGCCCAGAAAATGGTAAAACCTGTTTTTTCTTCTCCACTTATCAAGGACCTGACAAAAGAAAACAAAATAAGTCAGTTCAAGGTCATTACGTCAATTCCTAGAAAAAACAAAGGGCAGAATTGACTAATTATATATAATAAAAAAAACCCATTGATGATTCTGTGGAAATCAAAAAAAAAAAGAATGAAAAAATACCTTTCAGGTTCCATTTTCTTTGGAATTGCCTTACTCAACCCAGACATTTTTATTTTCATTCATTTTATATACTTTAAATGAGTTATTAAACTGAAGAATGATACCAGTTGCTAGTCAGTCCATTTCAACTTAGTGAGCTAAAAAATGACTTTACCAATTTAAAGACAATCAAGTTATGTAAAAAAAGAAAATGGCGAAAAGGTTACAATTTTGTGACCTTGTATCTTAGTAACCAAAGGTCAAACAGCTGTAATATTTTTAAAATTTCGGCTTAGCTTGTATATCTATGTTTGTGGCAAGTTTGAACCAAACTGAAGAAGATTGATGCAAAATATACCATTTTGTGGTTGAGATGACATGAAATAACTTACTTAGCAAGAAGATCTGAAGATGTCCAGTGTTGGTGCTAATCTGTTGGAATGACTGCAAAAACAACCACCTCACCAAATTTATAGACAAAACATACAGATGCATGCTGGGATTTCTTCCCTAGCCAATAAGGCCAATCTCGGTCTTATCCAATATATTTCTGTTCTTTCTTGTCTTGAAGTCAGAATCCTGCAATCTTTTGTCTGTATCCCTTTTCCGTGTTATCACAATTCTAAGTTTGTGTACTTTTTTTACCTATGTCTGCCTTGCATATATGGTTTGCTTAGTATTATTTCTTGCCCTGTTCTTTTCTTTCTTCTTCTTGTTTAATGCAAACTGTCAATTCTGATTGCTGAGATTTTCTACAAATTGGTCGTTTAAAGATGGTCAGTTACTCTATACCCGGACGGAAGATGGTCAGTTACTCTATACCCGGACGGAAGATGGTCAGTTACTCTATACCGGAGGTAAAAAAAAAAAAAAAAAAAAAAATCGACAGTTGCTCCATACCCACAGGGAATATGGTTAGTTACTCCATACCCAGAAAGAAAATGACTTTTATAATGTTTGAGTTAAAATTTGTAATAGAATTTACTGTTTTTGGATGACAAATCAAAATAGTGATTTTATTTTTCCATAAATACCAAAATAGTATCAAATACAGATAGAAATACAAATACAGAATAATCTCACAACACTTATTACCAGATGAGATTTGTTCAGGCCAATAAAAATTATGAAAATTCTGTTTAGAATTTTCTACTAACTATCATTCTTCTACATGCATGAATGACCTCATGTATCTTGTATGAAAATTGCTTCAATGATCATTATTAACCTTTGATAGTTAATTCTATTCTCATTTGGTCACGGGTCATTGAAAAATAAACAGACATAAAAAAGGAAGAGGTTTGGTGATAATATCTTAAAGACAGCAATATTTCTGGTAAACATTTTTTTTAACCATTTCATCCCATTGAAGGCAATAATGCCACTAAGAGACAAGAGTGAAAGTAAATAAGAACACATGAATGAGGAGAAAAGATAAAAAAAGCAGTATTCAGAAATGCAAATAATGATTACTGTTGTATTTAAATTTTTAAAGATTGTAGTTGGAAGGAAAGCCTGAAGCCAGAAGTGAGTTCCACATGTGAGAAGTGTGAGAGAAGAAACTATTAGCATAGAACTTATGGTTACATCTAGACATTTCAACAGTCTAATGATGAGACCTAGTTGCTAATATAGTACAATATTTAAATTCATGAGGTCGAGGTACCAGAGAGGAAAGTTCATCAAAAGAGTAATTATAGAAAAGGCACAGGGAAGTTACATTACAGCAGTGGGAAAGTGACTGAAGCCAAGATGTGAGATCAGGACTGATAACACTACAGACCCTTTGAATTTTGTCAAGAATCTTGAGATATATAGCAGGAACATTAGACCAGATGTGGTAGCAGTATTTAATGCACAGATGAATGGTAGATTTATAAATGAGCAAGATGGACAACTGTATGCCATAAATTCAGCTGAGGATTGATTGAAACTTACATGAAACTCTTGAAATACAGACTGTCTCAAATGTGTTATCCTTTGGAATTACTCTGATCAATTGTATTAAAAAGCAAAATAAAGTCTTTATTACTGTCTCTCACTGCTCCTGTGATGTCCTAGACATTTCAACTATCTCTTTCTGAGGTTAAGTATAGGTGTCCTTTTTGTTTCTATTCTCTCTAAAACTTTGTTGTTGCTCATATGTTTAGTCTGTGGTATTCTCATCATCCTTATGTAGAACCAGATTTCTGTTGCCTCAAGTCTCATCATATGTGAGGAGATTGTCCAGCATTCACTGCCACGTGAATTTTCAGCATGATAAATATAGGTTAGTAATTTTTTTTTTTTTTAGTTTCAGATTTATAAAGATTGTCATATAAGCCCAAAAAACAAAATATTGTAAAATTATTGAGTGATATGAATAACTAGAACATTTTAAAACATTGAACAGAAATCATTATTATACGTCTTGCTATTTGGACCAATATATTCATCTTGGTTGTTATACAAAAATATTTTGGTTGTCATAATCTCTGGCTTTCTTTAGGTGTGTGTTATCTGCCATTATGGTCAGTAATGTTCTTGGAATTTCAAACTGAAGCTTCTATTCAATCCATGGAAGTTGTTTTCATTCCACTTTCCATGCTTAAAGGAGATAACTCTTATCAATTAACACACACCAGTTTTATGCACCTTTGTGCCAGAACTAGGGATTGAACTCACAACAAGATATGTTTTATGATTTAATCCACTAAGCTATGTGTTTCCTGGATAAGACTGGTGAGAATTAACCGATAGGAGTTATCTTCCCTGATGATAAAGAGAGGAACGAGTACAATGTACATTTTTGAAATGAATAAAGAGTTTAGCTCAAAATTGCAAGAAGGTGGCTGAGAATGTCAATTAACATATCTGAAGAAGGCAGAGAGTAAAACGGACGAAATGTTGTGAGTATGACTTTCAAGATGAGGATGTTGGTCTGAATAGCAAGGCATAAAAGACAGACACTGGAAGAAAGATGGAAAGTATAACAGCTGAATCATGGTGAGTAAAATAACCATGTGACATTGATTAGCAAAGAATATAATAATGATAATTCCTCATCTCAAAGATTCCAACAAACTCTGTGAGTATAACATGAGGATGCTGGTCTGCAGGGCTGGATCAAGGTACTGATAGCACCATCATGCCACTGTCTCACATATTTAGGTTAGGAGTTAGGGTCATACTTGCTGCCGTCCATGACGACTCAAGACAGATTAAATTCTTTGGTTATTTTGTCAATTGAAAATAATCTTGTAAAGAAGATAGGTGTAGAATATGTTGTGAAAAGATTTGCAGATCTAAAGATGAGAAAAAAATGTTTTTGGTTGGGTAATGAATGTTTTTTTTTAGCTTGTAGTATATTGTAATAAACTTGTCATTTTCCATCTTCAGTTTTTCTACTTGTGAAAATTTAAAAATTATACTTGTAAGGATGTTGAAGTTCAGCTTATCCCCAGTGGCAGCAACCCTAGGGCTGTAATTGCTGGTCTAAATAGCAAAGCATATAATGATAATACCTGATCTCAAATATTTCAACAAACTTTGTGAGTATAACAATCGAGATGAGGATGCTGATTGGAATAGCAAAGAATATGATAATGATAATTCAGTCAGTCAATTATGTGCCATACGTGATACACACTTAGGCGATAATGTATCTTCAATACATGACTGACGAGGCAAATTTTTTCCTGCAGTTGGTTGCCATTTCTTTCCACGGTAGACCAGTTACCATCCAAGGCTACAGAACTATTTACTCATAGCTGGGGGAGAAGAAAGGGATTCATACCTTTCCCAAGGGTATTAGCACATAAGTGAATGTAATGGATTTGACTTGAATTCGAAATCAGCTCTCCGATTCCTCAATCCGAGCCACTATCCATTACTCCACTGTACATTACTCATTTAAAAATTCTGACAAAATTATGAATGAACGTTGGTTTATAAACTTTACAAATATTTGTGAAAGAATTGGATTACCAACCAATTGATTGCTGATGCGCCACGGTGTTTTGGCAGCAACGATGGGTGGTAAATGATTGTCTGGTGTTTGGGGTAAAAGATGACATCGTTTGGTATGAACTGCGAGCAAAATGGCAAGACATTCAATTCGACCCGGAGTGCTTTGTAACATTCTACAACTTCAGGAATGGCTACTTTCTTTTCCTGCCATCGTTTAAATTTAAATACAGGAGTTCCATTTTGTTGGCTTCTATGGCTGTAAAGAAAAAATAAAATAAATTAATATACCAGCATTACTATGTTGGTAAAGATTCCAAGTGAGAAAGATTTAATACTTTTCTTTATCTTCTAGAATGAATTGTATTGTTTTAAATATATTATAAGTATTAGTCTCCTGAATATATTTTACTGCTGCTCAGTGGTGTAACATAGGATTTTAGTGGCCAAAGTAAGGTAAGTACTGACCCCACCCGCTAACATTTAGCACTCACTTTAAGCAGACCAATATCGATTTTTCCACTCCAAAGCACATTTACTTTTTGTTGTTCTTCTAAAATCTATTTTAAAAATATTTTTAATTTTTTTTTTTTTTTTAAATCTGACATCTCTTCAGGACGTAAGTGATCATGACTCCACAGATTCCTTTTCTTTATTGTCTGAGAATTGTCATGGCTTTCTGGGTAAGATAGTGACGTGGTTGTCCATTGTCTTTTCTCAGACTTGATTGACCTCAAGCTAGAGAGCCCAGTCTACCCTGCTATTTGAACCATAGCAGGGAGAAAAGAGATGGATTCATGCCTTTCCCAAGGACATTTGTGTGAAAGTGAATGCAACAGACTAACCTGAGATTTGAACTCTGCTCACCAATTCCTTTTTTCTCGACTGATAACCATAATACTAACTAAACTGCATAACTATACATTATGCACTAGTTTCAATATCCTTCTAGAACTGTCTTCATAGAAAAATAAAATAACTTTTTTTGTGGGGAGTGAACAAAACTGTCCTTATAATTATCATAAAAAAGAAACCTGCTTACCTAAAGGGTCCTCTCGGCCTTTAACATCTGGAATAGTGAAAACTCCAGCAATGTCATGACCAACACTTCGAAGAAGTTTGTACACTTCTGCACCAAATGTACTTTGTCCAATGATGGCAATCCTCATTGCCTGAAACAAGCAAATTATTTGTCTTTTTCTTAGGTTTAAAAATTAATGAATATCATATTTTTCTAAGGGTATTCTTTTTTGTATGTGGAAAAGTAAAAAAAATTTGATCAAGACAAAATGTTAAGAAAATTTTCAGACTTTTTCAGAAAGGAGAAAATTGTACCAAAAATGGTGTTTGTTCAACAAACGTTAAGAATAGCAAAAAAAAAATCTCAATTATGTAATTTGAAACAATTCTATCATGGATGCTTTTGTTTGATTCTGAGTAAAATGGAAAAAAAAAAAAAAAAAAAAAAAAAGGAAAAAAAAACTCCATAAAAACAGGAAATGCAATGTATTTAATTGCCACTTCCAACACAAATTACATTTTATTTAATATCTTAATGTTTATGTCATTTAATGATAAAAGAACAACTTGTCAATATGAGTTGCATTTTCCAATTGTGGCTTTTACAGATTTGCCCAAGCTTTATAAAATAATATTATCTTTAATTTTCATAAAGTTTATGAAAAACAAGGTTCTTTGTAAAAAGCATTTCTCTTCTGACATCCATTTATAAGTATATATATATATATATATATATATATATATATATATATAATGGAAACCCAAGTTGTAAGGTATCTCCAGGTAAAATGAGAATAATTCCATTGTATGTAACATTTAATTTAAAAAGAGGTCTCAATACAGAGTAGAGCTAAATCTCATTTAATTAAGGATATTAAAACAAAGACATGTTAAAAATCGCTACACTACAATTATGTTTCGACACTACAAATGTGTCTCCTCGGGCAATGTTAAATTATTTCCCAGTGTATAGGGATTTTTAACATGTTTTTGTTTTAATATCCTAAAATAAATTATTTACATATATACATTACACGCATACATTATATAATCTGTAAATTGGAAGCTTTTCATAAAATTGATCTTGTGTTTATTGAAAATAATAGAGAAGTTTTTTTTACATCCTAATAAAATACTGGCTCCTTGTATAGTATTTTATACTACAGATCTATTCATTATACAACTAAAGGGCAGAACTGGAGACCTAATTCAAAATGTCTGATTTGGAGAAATTTTTGGAAAAAAAAGTTTAACATTCTTAATAAATGACTTTAATAAAAAAGTTTGTTTTTTTTCTTTGGTTAGGATGATTTTTCTTGTTTTGAAGGAGAATTTGAACATCAATTGTCCAATATCATAACTTGAAAAATTAAGTATTTGTACAAATAGAAAAATCAGACTTGATGTATTTATTTAGTTTTGAAAGGCAATGATCTCTAAATCCAATATTTGGATTTCCATTTTGTGAATCTATTTCAAACTAGCTTCATTCCCAAAATTACAAAATTTAGCTCTTAAAGCATTTTGAAGAGCAAATTATTAATGTATATAATAATGTACAAATTGCTTAAACATCAAGAATCCTCATTGTCCTTGCTGAAGAAAATTAGGTTTCTTATGACATACAAGATATTCAATGTGATTAGAAGACTGTGGTGATTCATTTGAAATAAGATCAAACAATTTATACCAATTTGGTCAGCTCTAAAGAAGGTCACTAAAAACCAAAACTGGTAGAAAAGCAGTCGAGAGAAGATCACATGACATGAAAACATTTTTTAAGCAATTGCACTTGACTAAATTCTCAAATCTAATTCATAAGCCTCCTAAATATTAGAAAATAAGTTTTTTCAATCATCAATGCATGCACCCAGAAATGTCAATGAGTTAACCCAGAAATGCCAGTCCTAATTTACTGTGCATTTTCTATAAATATTTTCATGGCATTTTTTCTGACGAGTATTCCTCTTTGTTAGTGCTTGACAATTAGGCCTCACCATTTTACTGTTGGAATTACTAGGTGTAAGCAGAAGTTCTATGATAAAGGTTTTTTCTATTACACTTCTTGCCTAACTCTCTTCTGGCTTTTCTGTAAATTAAAATCTTTAAAAATTTAAATGCAACATCAATCATCTTTCTTTTTGAAGCAGGTTCTTTTTATTGTCCTTCTCAATAATGTTCCTTTCGTTCACAGTAACCCCCTGCATCTTAGTGGCTTTATTGTCTTCCTTGGGGTGAAATGCTTACAAAAATGATACACATTGATAGTAGTTCAATACAGCAAATTAAAGTGAATGTACATTTCAGTGTATATATATATATATATATATATATATATATATATACATATACATACATACAGTAAGGTACAAATATTTACTGATTACAACACAAGAACTCCATCTCATCTACTGACATGACAACTTTCTTTACCCCTATGGGGCAAGCCAGCAGCCAAATATTAAATTACCTCCTAACAACAGCAACAACTGTGAATTTGAATATTCATATTTTTTGTGAATAGTCTCTTTATCACCCTTTCCAATTTTTTCCCCTAACAATTTCCAATTCTCTTTTTTCCTAATCCTTTCCAATTCCTCAATTTTAAAAAGTCATCATTATAAAATTTACTGCACATAAACCACATATTAAAATTTTATTTTATAAAAAATACAAAAATCACGCACAACCTTAACATATAATAAATATAAATAATGTAAATTGTAATGTATTATCGTTGTTTGTACAAAGTTTATTTTCTTTGACAAACCAATTAAATCGACTTGGCTATAAATCTTTCCATGATGGCCCAACTTATTTTAGAAAATTTTTAGTGGCCCCCATATATACGAGCCATCTATTATCAAAGAGGCTAAAAATTGGTCATTTCCATGTAACAGTCTAGAAAGTAACTAAATCTTCAACTATTCTCCATCTTTATAAAAGTCAGATCAGACAAAATGGAGTATTGCTGCCATATCTGGGCTGGGTTAGGGTTAGCCCAATCTGAGTAGTCAACTTTAGAAATTACACCCCTTTTCTCTAAACGTTCCACTTCTTGATTTACTGAATCCAAAGCTGAAAATGGTACATTCCTTTTTTATTTGAATACTGGTATTATATCGTCTTTAAGTTCAAACCTGACCTCGGTTTTTGTGCATTGTCCAAGACCTTCAGAAAATACATGTAGAAATTTGTTTTTCAGATCAGAAATAAATTTTTCTGTTTCTTCAGATAATTGTTGCAAAATGAATTTACAGGTAATTCCCATAAATTGAAAAGCATGATCCAATCTGTACCAAATAAGTTCATCGTACCTGGAAGAACATAGACTTTTGATTTGAAAGTCCTCTCCATAAATGATACGTTGCAGCTAAATTAACCCCTGAAGTTTAGCCTTTTACAAGACACTCGTCTGGCTATTTTTTTGGTACTCCTTAATGATGGGCAACATATTTTCTTCCATATTTGTTCATTCACAATAGAAATGTCACTTCCAGTATTCAACAGTAACTTCACTGTATGACTTTCGTATTTACATATTTCCTTTTTTCCATTGTTTTCAATTTTGTTCTTGGAAAAGACAACATTTACTTTTGATTTAAAGTTTTGCTACTTTCACTTTCTTTTCTGTTTATACCAACAGTGGGAGCTTTTGCGACTGACATAGCCATACAAACATTATCCTAAAAAAAAAAAAAAAAAAAATAAAAAATGTCCTTTTTTAAATGAGACCCCCCACAGGCGTCACACTGGAATGTTTTTGCCTTATATTTTGTAAATTTTGATTGTTTTATCGTTTGGGCTTGAGAAATGTTTTTTTCTTTGATCCATGTATTGTCTCATTTTATATTTATCAACCTCTGGCATGCCTCAGTCACCTTCTGTAGCGTAATTTGAGGATCTTGTTTCATAAGTGTCATAATCCTTGATCCGATGTCTTTGTCCTTCGCTGCTTTAAGTCCCTGGATGAAGATTAAACTTAAAGGTTCAATTAATTTAAACAATTCACATTACCTGCATAATTCACAAAGTCTTCATTCTCTTGTTTTACAATGATTAAACACTTATATCAAGCATGGAATTGTCTCTTTCATTGAAAATTCCTGACAAATTCTTTGTCTCCTCGAACGAGATTTCCTCCGGCTTTTAGGTAAAATTAGGTTCGTATATTTAGTGTCCTCCTCTGTAACTAATTCTTGAACTAACAATGTTATTTTCTCCTCCTCAGACCATTATTGGCACCTTTTTGAAAAAAAAAAAAAAAAAGGTCTCATATCTATGAAAATAGACAGGGAAAGTTACTCCATTGGATCATACTTGAATTCTAATAACGAAATCAATATTCCTTCAGGGGAAAAGAATCTGTAGCTCTATTCATTCTGTTTTAGATATTAGAGTTTCAAACAATAGCTTAGTGTCTTCTGCTTACATTTTTGTAATTGCATCAGTTCATCTTGAAAAATTTTGTGATTTTTCAAATTTTTCTTGTTGCTGCAACAACAACTGTTGCTCTAATTGTTGTTTCTGCTGCTGTTGTTGCAGTCGCTGTTGCAATTGTTGCTGTTGTAACTGCAAACTAGCGTAACAGTGTTTTGGGGTCTTTCTTGCCATGAGTGAATCGAATCCAGCATAGCCACTGTTGTATCCTTAAAGAGGTTACAAACAGACAAAGGTGGTACTCGAGTGAAAGGAACAGCAGCACATGCATAGATGAAAGAAAGAGAGGTCTATTGTAAAAGAGAATCCATTACTGAAAGACAAGGAACCAGGCAGCAGGGTAGAAATTCCTGAAGCAAGATTATTTACCTTACCTCCCCGCCGGCGGGATGTGGCACAGGGCCGTTTTTTAATGTGAGGCAAAACTAAGCCTGTAGGCTCGGGCAAAAATTCCCTGTAGACCCCATATACACGGGGTCGGGTAGCTGTCTACCACCCCAGACAAGACTCTGCCCTTTGGCATAACCTTCTCTGAGTTCCTCCCTGCCCGAACGCAGAGAGTTCGACCAGCACAGCTGGAGACAAATCTCCAACTAATTACTGAAGCAAGGTTATTTACCTCACCTCCCTGCGAGGCAGGATGTGGCACAAGGCTGTTATTTAATGCGGAGTTAAAACCGAGCATGGGCAAAAATTCCCCATAGACCCTGTA